GAATGATATACTCCATTTTTAATTTATTTAGTAATTATAATTTATGTTATAGGAACGTATTGTTATCCTTTTATAAATTTAAAAGTAATGTTCCCAGAAATCCTCACATGTGTATAATAATACACGTTTACAATCAAATATTAATATAAATATACTTATTTTCTACAGATATTTAAAATAAAAACTCTATTTCAGTGGCAATAAAATTATGTAGAATAATTAATATGGTTAATTATACCTAATTTCAAACTTGTAAATGCGCTAAAATTGTTTATAAAAATGTCAATTTCACGCAAATAAATTTATAATTAATCATACTGTAATATAATAATTTAGTTTTATAATTTTAAATTGTTATTATATTAAAATTAAACTCCCCGTCACAAGCTACATACCTATATGCTTACAATGTATTGAAATCTTAGTGTTTATATTATATTTTTATCTGTCGATAATGTATTTGAATTAGTTTACTAAAAAAACTATTATTATTAGAGTTTTCTTAATACTCGTAATTAGGAAAACATTGAAAATTTACGCAATGCTGTTTCGATTTTATTTCTTAATTGTTATTCAGCTAAAAATGTAATATTGTAGAAGCCAAAATTTTTCTCTTAGATAATACTTATTTTAACTATTTCTAGAAATGGTATAATTTTTTAAAAAAATGCTATTTTAAGCAATTTATAGCCCATGGCATTTAAAATGTAAACGTTTGTTATTTGGTTTTATGGGGACACAATTGTTTTGGCTCAACTAAATTGTTCAACAATTTAATACGAGGTTCATCATAAGTTTTAGTTCTAAAAGTTTAAGTTCAAATTGACTAAATTCGTGAAAACTACGGCATTTCAAAAAATGTTTAACCTAACGTCAATAAGAACCGTTTTTACTATTTTAATAATAATAATAAAATATTTGTAAGATAATTTTTTGACCAAAAAAATAAGCAATTCAAGAAATTCTTAGAAATATAATAAGAAACTATAAAAAGCTTTATAGGTATACAGTTGACAACTAAAATTAAATTTGAAATTTAAAAACAATACTGTCTTATAGTAATTAATTAAGCAGTTTTTTTTTAGTAAGATTTGAAAAAATTTAAACCCTATTAATTAATATCAAAATGGAACATATAAGCTTAAATAAGAACGAATATATTTTATTTTGTATACTGATTCATCGTCAAAACAATTTTTTTAAACTAATAAGTATCATTTTTTACACGTAAATACTTTTATAATTGCTCGGGAGTCTATTACAATATTAAAAAACAAACGTTCTTTACATTAGATCAAAAACGTTTAAATTTATATCAAACATTAAAACATTAAGTAAAGGTAAAACAAAATAGGTAATAATAATAATACATATTTTCACAAAACTAAGGTAGGTAAACCTGCTTTGAATTCACATTCACTTATATAATAATTTACGAGTTCAATACTTTGAAGTATTCAATATTTTTAATTGTCAGTATATTTAACTGACCTGTTGGCTAACGTATCCGTCGCCGCTCTCGCCGGTGGTCCGTGTCTATACCTAGGCCTGTGCCCTTCGGACAGGTACCGATACAGCCTGGACTGCTGGTCGTCCCTGAGTTCTAATTCCAAGTTCAAGTCTAAATCCCAGTCCAAGACGTCCGGTTCGCCGCTATCGACAACACAGTTACGACGTCGCATCCGGCGCACCTGTTGCCCCCCCCTGGGGCCGGACGGATCACGCGAGTTTTTAATGCCGTCGTCGTCGTAACGGTGGGTATGCGTGCGTATCGCCGGTTGCGATGCCACTGGTGATGACGGCGCGCCAAATAAATAAGGCCCTGGGCAACGTATTGCACGGTCGCCTAGGCAACCGCATCAGCCGTGAGCCTTCACACACCTATACATGTTGCGCCTAAAATAAAAAGTCGCCGGTTCCACGACAATATTCTAGTTTTATACACTAAGATGTATTGTGGGTATAGGCTTAAACTAAGAGAAAAAAGCGGGGGCCATTTTCCCACACCCCCGTCAAAACCGTAGGGCGCAATGACCACTATATATTATTTGTGTAAATGATCGAATCATTTTTCTAAACATTTTGTAGTTTATTTAAATTTTGTATTTGGAAAAAGACTTGACTACTTATTACAACTTATGCTACAATATTGGCCAAAAGAGGCATTCATATGGTAGTTATTTTACAAATCGAGAATATTATTAAAATTACTTTAGAATTATTACGAATATTTACGAATCATTAGTCAGTATAACGCAGAATCAACACAAAGGGGAAGAAGTACTCATCCAGTAATGATAAAAATGTAATGAGCAATAACATTTTAATCGGTTTAAATTGTTTTGCTCTGTTTAATATTCACTATAGGTACCTACTACAACCTAAATTAGTGTACCTATGATGTATACACATACAATTTTATATTATCGTATGGGCAAATATTAAAGATTGACCACCGTATGATCACTAATCAAGACCAGCGGAAAAGGGGGAGACAAACTGGGCCTCACACTTTATGGGACCTCGCATTTTTATATTAAATATTAATATTTTCATATTAGTTTTACTATGATGTATGAGATTTTTTTTTTATCGCACCTATCTGAAGGTACTTATCTCAAAAAATAATTTTACCTATGTACAACTGTTAGATGTATATTTTATAAATGTATAAATTGTTTACAACTAAATAATTATAAGTAAAATTATATTGTCTTGCTAAGGAATAATCTCGAATTGTTTAATAATCGTAAGTTTTACCCAGTTTGTCTTAATCGATAAACACACGAACGAAACTGAATATAAAAAAAGAGCTGACACTGCAGACGGGTGCGACTTCTGTTGTAGATGAGAAGTTGGGAAGGTAGGATACATAAAGTTATTTCATTTATATCTGTAAGCAACGAGCAACGATAAATCATTGTTGATGAAAGACAATTCCGAGCGTAGTTCAGTAATACATAATTTGAAGTGCCGTAATTTTTTTTATCTAACCTTCCTACGTTTTTTCCCGATTACTATAAAAACTAATTCGAAAATCAAAAAACGACCTGCATCATTAAAAAACAAGATTAATAATTCAACAAAAAAGGTCTCTTGTCGTTTTTCAACTGTCATATTTGTGCTAGATAACGTGGTAGGTACTTATTTAAAATAACAAAATCGTGAAAAATCGTATTTTTTTTCCCGGTTAATCGTTTTTATTTTAAATACCGTTTCGAAAATCAAAAAATGACCTACGTATTTACCAAGAAGATAAAATTTACTTTCAGAAAAGGTACTACACTTATACATCGAAGCAAGTTTTCTAAGACAAAAGTGGTCTACAGTATAAAAAAAAAATTAAGGACCATTGTAAAAAAATTTAAAAAGAAAAAAAATCGTCCGATGATTTTGAAAATTTTACCACACCTAGGTAAGTCTAATATAAGGTTTATTACCGATTCTCAAGTCTCTACGTGTATTTATAATCAAATAACAGCAAAAAAACTCCCGAAAATTTAAATTCTTTAAAGCTCAAAAGTGGCTCAAAAGTTTTGACGATGGTGTGATTTTTCGATTAAATCATTTTTTCAGGTAGAAAACTTTGTCCGTGCTTTATAAAATAATGAAATCATGAAATTGTACGTTTTCCTACGTTTTTGCCCACTTAAGTGCTTTTATTTTATTTAAATGACGTCAAAAATAAAAAAACTGACATTTCTAAAAGACCTTTCAAAAAAGTTGCCACTCGTAAAAACCGGGGCAAAATTACTAGGAAAAAACGTATCTTCAAACTAGAACAAATAAAAAGAAAAAGAAAAAATAAACAGCATTGTAAAGTCAATAGCTCCCTAGCTACGCTCTAAAATACAATTTCATTTTTTTTTTTGAACTGTCACGGTCATCGCTTGTCTTAGTCTTAGTCAAAATTACATAAGTATTATAAAAAATTATTATTTATTATAATATTATAACCATTACTTGGATGGGGGGGACTTCTCTATTTAGCAGAGCTCCTCTACTTTAATTTTCCCGATTTGAGCACTGATTATAATAGATATAAATATATAATATTTGTTTTCAACATTTTTTTTTATACCTACCAAAGTAGTTTTTACTGAGCTAATGTAAAAAGTAGAAAGTAGTAAATTGGTGTTATTTCATGTATTTATTCATCATATTTAAAAAGAAACTTAATTCAAAATTAAGAGATGAGGTAAACATTTGATTGATTTATAGGGGGCAGGGTTATACTAATATTATAGTGATGATCAAAATATAAACAAAATATCAACATTAACAACAAAGATTACTTTAATTTCGAAGTCTTTGTTAAAATTTAAAAGGCTTTTGAAATGTATAAAAGGATAAGCTCCTTAAGCCACCGATACCCGATTATGGGGGTAATTAAAAAGTATTAGTTTTCACTATTGATTTGTAAAAATTGTTTTATTTTATTTCAAATAAATAAACGGGACGAAGCTCTTATTACATAACTAGGTTTATAACAAGAAAAAACAGTAAACAGAATACAAATTTACAATAACATAAATTAATTATATATAGAAGGAGGTGTCTGCATAGGTGATAGACATAAGTCGCCTAATTGGCTCATTCCTTAGTTAGTGGTAGAATGGGGAATGAGGAAAGGTATAGTGGTTCGAGTAGTTCTCAAAGAAACCTTGAAGTTAAAAAGTGCAACAAGAATAGAAGAGTCAACTTTATTTTCTAATAGTCTCTATTAGACAGCTTTATGCGAAGGCCACAACAATTTTGGTAGTATCCATGGGCGCTGGAAGAAGGCTGATCACTCGTTAAGCCTGCAGAAGTTGTCAGCCGTGGCTGTAGTTTTTTGGCCGGGAGATTACACTTGATGTTCCATTGGTAAAAGATATAGTGAGATTGGATTCACCGGTAGCAATACGACGATCGAGTTCTTGGTGACACGTCTGAAGTAGTTGTCGCTCAAGTGGAGTTTTACCTCGAACAAGGCTTGAGAATGGAGATAGTTGACTACGTTATTTGTCTAAACGATAAGCCATCAAAGCAATAGAAGCTACATCAGGGGAAGCGAATATAACCTTGACTGGCAGTGAAGTAGTAGACGATGGTTTACCAAAGCGAATAGGTTCAAATTCGATTGGTATAGCATTAGAAAGTTTAGAAAAAATACCACGAAGGATAGTTTTATATTCATTAATTTTGATCGAGAGGTCGATTGAAAAAGATTCCGGTATGCCATGTGCAATGACGTTAGGCTTGCACCGGTCACGCTCAGTGAACTCATGGATAATTTCAGAGACGGAGGTACTACTTCTACTAGAAGCAGGGAGTGCTTTGGACTCTAATGCATGCACCTTAGATTCAAAAAAATCTACTTTATTACGTAGTTCAGTAATTTCAAGAAAGTGCATCGAACCGGGCAATAACAGAGTTAATACTAGATTAGAGCTCATTACCCAGAGTTATGATCAGCCAACAGTTTGTCTTGAGATAACTGAAGACGATTTATTCTTTTGGGATTTCTTCATTTTATGGAAAGGGCAAAGTAGAACCGGAATGGGTTTTAGGCAGGGTAAGTTTGGTATCAGCCATATTATAAGAAGACAGTAGCAATGAATGAATAAAAACAATGGTAAACCACAGTTTTACTTGATAATAACAATAGAGGTAGACAAAACTAAGCACGCGGTGTATAAATGGTTGAAGACAATAACTGAGTGTTTCTACGTCCGCGGTGTATACGATAAGCGAGACAGGTATGTATAATACGAGTCTTATCACCGTATAGGCAATGCAGCGATAACTACAGTATAGTACAGCAGCCGTTAATCCGTTGTGTCGATAAAAATGTTAAAATCACTCACGTTTAAGGCAACTGTGTGTATAGATTTAATCCACTAAAACTCTCCAACGGGGAAATAATTAGGGGCAACAAGTACAAAAACACTCACACTAATTTAATAAACCGTTGGATACAAAAAATACGAAAAACGAACCAATAAAATCCAAAGAATGAGAGAAAAAATGAGAGAGCAATGGAATTATTAAACGAAAGAGGTCTAACCAATACGAATGGTTTTCAGGGGCCTATCGAATATTTTACTTAGGGCCTCGCAAAACTTACCACCGGCCCTGTCTCTAATAATCAATTAACTTCATTGAAAAGTATAAAAACCCAAAATAAAAATAAATAAACCTCAATAATAATACATTTTAAGTATTAAGTCAATAGAATTGAGGAACATTCAAAAATTAATTTACCTAATAGAATTAATTAAATTTTCAAATGTTCAATGTAATGTATTTTCAATTAAACCTACCTATTTTAACAAAAACACCATAGCAATTAAATTGAAAATAAATCATACTGTTTAAAAAAAATTTTATTTAAAAAATGTATAAATCTAAACAAAATATACACCTACAATTAACTAGTAGGCACTTACAAATAAAAATAATAAATTTTAAATAAGAAAACTTTCTAATAACGTTTTCATAATTTTCTAACAAACAAAAATAAAAATATATTCTTTAATTCTTATTATTTCACCATATTTTTATATTATTTCATTAAAACAAATTTATTAAGTGTATCTTATGCTATAATTAATTTTATTAGTATAATACTTAGACAAATAATTACCTAATTTAAATTTTTAAAAATTAAAAATGATACTCATTCTGTTAACAGCCAAGATTCATATTTTATTGGTATTTATCAATATTATGATAGTTTAAACCTACTTATTTTAGTAGTAATACTGTATGATGATTTGGATATGAATAATCTATGAATGAATTATCAACTTACTTACCTCATCTGTGACTGCAGTTTAGACTTACTACTAATGATGCTAAATCTGTAACAGAATAATAAACAAACATTGTTAGACCTACAAATACCTATGGTTAACCTATAAATATGGAGACAGGATGGAAAGATTAAAAATAAATAACAGATGGCAGTTTAACCAAAAATTGAGTTGTGTAAAATATGAAAAATATTTTATCCAAAAATATAAAATAACAGTATAAAATAAACTTTTAAATATAATTTAGGTACAAACCTATGAAAGAAAAAAAAAAGATAGATTTAAAAAAATACCTATAAGTATCACAGGTGGCTATAAAACTTACAAGACATGCACCACAATACACTTACTACATACTAACTGTGAATTTAGATTTTGTTATTTAGTGTTATTATATTCTACAACTTACTAACAACTATAACTTCCATTTAAGAATAATTAAATTTAAAAAAAGGGTTTTTATTTCTTTCTTGACTGATAATAATGATTATATTATATGAAATTAATCTAAATTTTGATAAGATTAAAATATACACTTCAAAACAAAAATATAAAACAATTTAAAGTGAAATGCTTGAAAATTTAACATTAACAATTATAAGTTGTATTTGGTGGTAAAAAAAAAAGTAGTGTAATGTAGTAATATTTTTCATAATAATTTTAACCAAATATTGATGAAAATCATATATATTATGGTTTTTCAAATCATAAAAGAACTTAGCTCAGAAAATAGAATGTTTTTTTTTTAATAAAATGGCTCAAACTTTCTGAAACTGGTGATTTCTTATTTTAGTAAATTTGTAATTATTTTAATTTTAATTGTATATATTTATATAAGTATATAAATATTATATTATTTACTAATTAAGTTTTTTTTTTATAAAAATTTAAATAAAAATTTTTAACAATGAAAATAATCCAAAAATGTACTCGACTAAAAGTTACCAGTTTCACAAAATGTTAGCTATTTTATTGCAAAAAAAAAAAAGCAATTCTTAATCGGTACCTAGGTAGGTATAAATCCTATAATTGTTCAAAAGGCTAATAGATATAAATATGAACGCGAATGCAAATACGGTTTTTTGAAACTCGGGAATTCTTAATAAATTGGAATTGCTACTAGGGTACCTGTAGGTTAAAATGTAAAAATGTCGAGCAGATATACTCACTGTCACAGCCTCTTTTTAATGTTTTGACATCAACATCTTGAGTAGGCATCGACGAACACCACACTATAATATTCGCATCGGAAATTTTTTTTTTTTTTTCTGTGTGATGTTATATTATAGACCGTAGAGATCGAAATTGCCTACACCATGACACGCCACTTGGTGGCAAAAAGAAACTCTGCGAGATGAAATATTGGAAAATACGCGGACACACGAAACACACGCAAACTATGCCCGGCCAAAACTGAAAAGTGTGTGCGGACCCACGGTTCTTCAGAGCTCCACTGGTGACATCGGCGATCTAATAGGTTACATCCAAGTATCTAACCAATGGAGACGTTACACATGACCGTTACATTGTCGGATTGGCTCCCGAGAAAATCTCCATAGGCCGGCCGTATGTACGAGTGTGAACGAAAACAAAATCATGACTAAAATACGATTAGCAGCCTTCAAGGCAAGACTTGGAATCGAAATTTCAACACTTGTTTTGGTTTTTGTTTAAGAACCCAAAACCGGAATCGGTACTTACCGATATAAGTTTTAGACAGCGAATTTTGCGGTTCTTATAGGTACCTAAAAATATAGGTATCAGTTTATTGAATTTGTTTGATGTTGTGAAATGTAAATGTAGATAATATACATCAATTCATAATAATTTTGTCTATTTATATAATATAATCTACAGATACACGTTCCACGCATCTATTAAATATAGGCAGTTACCAAAATAAAAATATATAAATTGCGTCAACATTTTTTCCCCGTAGTTTATTTATAGTTTAGATTAGACAATAACTAATGATTATAATGAAATTATTATTAATGATTATTCAGTATTTACATTGAGAATTAAATATTATGTCGATGGTTTGAAGGTAAAAAGATGTAAGGAAAACTTTCCAGGAAAGCCGAAAAACAAAAAACAATAAGTTTGTAATTTATTTGTTAAAATGTATACCTAATTGTAATTATGCATTCAGTTCAAAATATATTAATCTTCATTTTTAAGAAATAAAATATGTATTAAAAAAAATATGTTTCATTTTTGATTAAAAGGTAAAATTAGACAGGCATACCTATATATTTTGTTAATAATGGTTTATGTACATTTTTCCACATATTTAAAAAAGCTAGATATAGGTGTATTTAATAACTAATAACTTTCAAAAATGGATTTATCTAGATTCTTTACTCTTAATTGTGTTATAAAATTTTTATTAAACTTACCAATTCAAACTATAATCAAAACAGTATTTAAAACACTTTAAGTGAACTATTTTTAATTTCTTTATAATATTTGTTTTGGTAAAATAATATAAATTATATTTATATTAAAAATATAAATAATTGCCAATGTTTTTATAAAAAAATGCAATATATATATATATATAATTTGAAAGCCCGGCCAGGTCCACAAATGTTTGTAAACAAAAAAAATAATTTTCAATGTTGACCAACTATACTAGATATCTTAAGCTATCAATTTGTTCTAATGTATGATTATTAATGTTTATTTATTTTCTTAATTGTCAATTTATTGTAATGTGGTCAATGGTTTACTATTGAATCATATATAGAATTATTCTATTTTGTCTAAAATTTGTGTGATGTGGTTATTGTTCAAGTATTATGATAGGTAAATTATTATTAGAATTTATTGACTGATTGTTGTTATTTATATCTAACATTTGATTATAAATAATTACACTGTAAAACAAAAGAGATATGATAGGGATATATCCCCCATTACTTCATTTTTATTAAATATTTATAATAATTTATATATTATATCTAGACATCAGAAGATTATTTTACTAATTGTTTTTAAAAATTATTCTTATCCCCCCACCCTCATGATAAAATTATTTGACCACTATTAACTTTTGTATTGTCGTTTATAGTATTAGTTTCAATTTACTTAGGTACCTGTCTATTCTAAATACTCAAAGTTTTGACACCACCATCAGATCTAATTCAACCATTTCATATATGAAGTTCTGCACCGCCTACAACAGTAGCTGCACCTGTCCCCTAGAACACTTATGTAGTATTGAATAGTAAAATGTATCAAATTTTTCGCCAATAAATAAACTATTAAAGTTATGTTGCATTTTCATATTAATACATAAAATACATAAGATAAGTATAATAATTTATAATATACCTATAATGTTGCACAAATGTATTACTTACAGGTAAAACTTTTTGTTTGAAACTATAATTTGACTATAAAATACGCAATATCAAATTACAATTTGTTTAACTGTTGCAATAAATCAAATTTGAAATAAATTACAATTAACAAAAATATAGATACTGCCGCAGCACAAGCTTTGCTTACTGGAGGTACTGCAATATTGTACTCATGAACGAAATTTTTATATAAAAACTTGTTGATGTTGCAATAAACTTATTATTATTATTATTATTATACATCAGAACTAGAGAAATATACAATATTATAAAGAAAACAAATAATATAAAAAGTTGAATTAAACTGTTGTCAATATATTATATTTTTATTTATTTATTAAAATAAGCATGACTAGATTAAACATTTTGGTTATATTAATTTGTCATAATAGTTGAATTTATAATTTTATTCAAATTATGTACTTAATAACACATTGATTTATTGTTAAATGTGTGCATATATTATAAATAAAGCTAAGCGCAACAGATCATTTACAATATACGTTAAACTTGTAACGCCAAAAGACTGCTGCTAATTTGCTAAAAAGCAACTGCTAGGCTTTATTTATACAACTAGTATTAAATCTGAACTGGCTAATAGTATTAAAATTTAACAGTTTTTCATTTAATATTAACTACACATTAAATCAAAACTGAATTCTATATTTGTTTGGGGTAGGCAATGATCGAACACCATTCTTATTATTTGAATCTCCCTTGTAAATCCCATCTCTTTGCAACGATCCTCTTCTTCCTTGAACACCTCCCGGAGAAAATATCCTCAACTTGGACTCAACATTTGTCATCTTATTTGAATCTGGCGTGCACAGACTTCCGAAATCAATTTTTCTAGGCGACGGGATAAAACTTCTTTGTGAGTCTTTATAAAACGAACGGCCTGGAGATTCTCTAGCCATTACTCTCGGGGGATCGAGTATACTCTTACCTGGAGAATCTCTAGGGCCAACCATCATTGCTCTAGGAGGGGATTCTCTAGTGATACTAGATCTTGATTCCTGGTTTACACTACTTCTAGAAGGAGATTCTCTGGGACCAGTGCAAGATGATTCTCTAGAGGTAATGTCATCTGATTCACGGCGAGATCTACGGTAACGTCCATCTGGTGGTAAAGGTGACTGACGAAGTGATCGTTCTAATGGTTCAAATTTTACAGTCGGGGGACATTCTGTAGGAGTGTTTGGGGCAGTACTAGCATCACTAGACGTATCCAAGGAATTTAATGAGTTCTTTCGGCTGTCATTAAAGTGATTGTATTCACCTAACTTTTTCACTTCTTTGGACTTAACATCTGAATCACTGAGACGACCATACTCTCCGACTTTTCCACTGGATTTCCTGTGACGTTTAGGCCGAGGAAGTGAACTAGGAGGTAAACTGCCACAACGACTCTCTTGTGTTTGGCGTTGTGCTTGTGAGCACAAACCTTGTTTTTCCAAAAGCATGATGTCATCAGCCCGGTGACCAAGGAAGTTGCCAGTTACACCCTCCAGTAGTGGTTGGGGTGTTTTTGCTTTTCGTGACAAAGAGCCCGTATGAGAGAAGCCTGGAAAACAGCAAAGACCTCTCTGAAAACAAAAACAAACACGTCCCCCCATCCAGGCACCCAATAAACGTCCAATTCTCTTGCAATTTTTTATTTTTTAATTCAACCGAAATTTGTATAAAACTCATGCCTGATTAATTCACTCGAAAAAAAGCCAAGAAATAAAATAAAATACCTTTATCAAGACATTAGAATACCTTTAAAAAATTAGTTCACACAATATTTTTTTAACTACAAATGAAAAAAATGACTTGAATTTTAATATATATCATATCATTATTATTGTTTACATTTTCTTGGTTTGATTATATCAGATATTTGTAATTTGAATGTATTCACACAAGGTTTAATTGAACACAAAATAACTCAAGTAAGGGAGAACGTGTTAGTTACCTCAGAGGAACAGGCCAATAAACAACATTTAAATGTAAATAATTTAAAAATTTAACATCCACACACACAAAATATGATATAGTAGTGAGTAAAAACTAAAAAGACATAACGAAAAACGTTTGTTATATAATATTATTAAAACAAACAAGACAATTTTTAACAATCAAAACAAATAGACAACATCAGAAACTGAATCAGTGTAAGGTGATTCTGCAACAGTGCTGTTTACCTTGTTCAGTAGTTGTGAATCCAATTCTTTTAATTGATCATCTAATGATTTATGATCAAAGCTTTGATTTGCAGATGAATACTTATTACCATGATGATGATGATAAGTGCTGTCCACACTACTCGTATATGAATTGTTTGAACCAAAACCTAAAAGAATTAATAACTTTATTATTAAAGTATAAAAAAATGCAAATTTTAAAAAAAAAAAGAACACCCATGATAGCACAGTCACTAGATTCAAATATTCCTCCAGCTTACTTGTTGCTGTTATAATATTTCATTTTTTGTTTTAGATTTGGAGCATAATGTGGGATCTATTAATTTTACTGCGTGTATTTTTTTGGGGAAACTGCAAACATTTTTTCTAATAGAAATGTACATTGTACAATATACAAAGTGTAGTACCTTTCCAGAAAAGAAATTTTGTCTAGTTCATGTATTAGACAGGTCATTTTTTAATTTTTCTAGAGGTTTTCAAAATAATTGGGAAAAAACAGGAAAGACAATTATAAATAAAACAGCAATTTACAGTGGCTGTACCCATCCCCATTATCAGCTCTTTTTATAATTCATCTAAAATACTTATGGTTATTAGTTTTATTACATTACCCTACCCCTACAAAAATTTTATCAATTTAATTCACTATTACAAAAAACTCAAATACCTGAATTTAAACTCATTTAATCAAGTGAGAACCTCTAAAAGTATCCAAAAATATGGGGAAAAATATATTTTTAACAGGCATATTACAGTATAATAATCTTTATTTTCAGGAAAATTCAACAAAAATAATAGAAATCAATTATATTTTTACAGTTTGTCAAATAAGTTGTTATTTATATAAAACTGTATTTAAATAACAATTTCAAAGTTAAAATAAATTAATTTTTAAAAAAAACTTATATTTTTGGTTTATACTAAATAAATGTTGGGACAGGTAATCTGTTGATTCCCTATTTTAATTTTTATGTCAAACATATTTGTACATTAAATACTACTACTTAACAAATAATACCTAATATTAATATCAAATTAATTTATTCTGTTGTAATAAATAACAAGATACTTTAAAATTTTAAAAATTATGTTATTTATTATTGCATTGTGTTATAAAAATAAAATTGTTATCACTGACATAATATTGTTTTAGTTATTAAAAATTAATAGCATTTGTCATTTAGAAAATATCAACATTAAGTCTGAAATATGCATTTTAGAATTAACTCTAAATTCAATAGCATAGATCTCAACATTCCTTAAATAACGTCATAACATATTTACCGAGGTCATCAGAAGTTAAATCTGTAGTATTAAGACTTGAATGAGGAGTATGATGACCAAGACATATACTTGGATATGATCCCGATACATCTTTTTCAAAACTATGCTTTTTTTGTAGTACTCTTATCATCGCATCACGTTCAGCTAATCTAGATTCCAATTCTTTCATTCTATAATTAATTATTATTAAACAAATAATTTATTTTAAATGTAACAATAAATAAGTTATTTTATATACCGCGATTCTAATTCGCTGAGTTTTTTTTGTGCCGCATGTACTTCTTCCATTTGTTTTAACTTATCTGAACGTGCTTCTGCAATGAGTTTTTCACTTTCTTGGCCAGTTTTTTCCAATGCTGCTATTTTTGCATCCCTTAGTAATACATTGTATTAAATTATATTATAATTCAGGTATTTTTAAAGGTAAATTAATTACTTTGGTATACTTGCTGCATCTATAGCAGCTTGTCGTAATTCACTCTCTTCTAAATACCGTTGCTCCCATTTTGCTACTTCACCCTCTAATCTCATTATTTTTTCATCTTTTTCACGTAGCATACGTTTCAAATCAGGCAAACTTTCACCAGGCTCATTATCTAAAATTGTTACATATTAAGCATCAATCAAAAAATATACACATATAGTTTAAGATACCTGTGGAGCCATCTTGGGAAGCATTATTATTTCGTGCTCGTTCATTTCGTAGCTCACGCTCTAATTGAAGTCTTAGTTTTCTCTCTGTCTGTTCGCGACGATCACTTGCTAACTGAAGAGAAGATAGTGCTCTTTGAAGTTGAGCAACTCTTTCAACGTGTACTTGCTTTTTACGGCATTCTTCTTCTAGACGCACCACATTAGACTGAGCATTGGTTAATGCTGTATCTAGTATATCAATATGAGTTCGCTGTTCTTCAAGTGTAGCTCGTTGAGCAGCCAATTCAATTTCCTGGCGATCTTTAGCTGCTAATAATTCTTTACCTAAAAGCAAATAATAGTTAATTATATAGTAATATATATATAATAGTTTATTATAATAATTAATTATTTCATAAAAAAATAATTTACAACATACTTTGAGTTATCAACTGAGCTATCAGGGTTTCACGTTTTACCATTTGATTAGAATCTACTATATTTGAGGAAGCCAGTGATTGATCCCGTAAAGCGCGGTTTTGTTCTTGTAAACGCCTAACTTCTGCTTGAAGTTTTAATCTAGCAGTTCGCTCAAGTCTTTCTCGTCGTTCACTAGATTCTACAAGTTCTTGATGAGAACGATATACTTTAGATACTTCTTGCTCAAGCTAATAAAATAATACAAATTTATATATTTATATATTTTTATTTTTTTTAAATACACATAAAAATGTTGAGAACCCATTGGTCAATTTTATGTTCATTTGGTGATCATTATAAATACAAACATGTGAGCAATTGAATAAAAGTAAGTAAATTATGTTTACCCTGTACGATTTGGCAACTTTTTGATGGCACGATTCCAATTCTATTTTCAGACTTTTGTTTTCCATCATTAAACAGTCCACTATGGACAACATTTTTTGATCTTTCCTGGAATCATTAAATGTTTAATATTTTGTTACTACTTAATTTAATAAATACTGATAATACCTGGTATTTCCTAGTGTGTGTCTCATGGGATCAGTTTCACAGCGTTCAATTTTTAACAGCCCTGTACCAAGATTTGGTTGAGATTTTGACTTAACCAAATTTCTTATAGGAACTGGTCGATATTCTGGTAACCATGTATTTTTATCAGTATCATGCCATCGAGACAAATTAGTATCACGTTTTGATGGATCTACTTTGACTTCTTTAGCAAGATGCTTTAAAACCTAAAATAAACAATTAATAATTTAATTTAGGCTATAATGTTAATATTGTCATCAATTTATATCATACATGAGATTGACTCAGATAATCATCCGGTATATTGGTTATTTCCCTTACGCCCATATCATTTTGTCGTCCCCCATTTTTCTGGCACTGGTTTTTAATTTCTTCTCTATTCCCATAACGATATTTAGGTATGCCTGTACTGAATCTAGGCCCGACATCGTTATGAATAATTAGTGTATCATAGGCAGATGGTGTTGATAAGGAGAAGTCTTTGTGTGTTTCCTGACCTTGTGGTTCTTGTCTAATTGCTGATCTGTGGCCATCATTAATATCATCAAATGATTCACTCTCACTACCGCTATATTCACTACTCAACACTAAAATAAAATAAACACATACAGTTAATTTGAAGCATTTGTTTATTTAGTTTATCATTCTATGAACACAAGTCATCTTGTGTAAATATAAAAACTATATTAGACAAATAATAAGTAAATAATAGATATGTATCTAAATTTGTGTAGGTACACAACACATATTTTAAAATAAACCTTTTATAATTTTTAAAGTATTTAATATTCATTACTTAAGTAAGTAAATCCATAATTAAAACCCAATAATTATATCTATGTGTGCTTGTACAGCTAACAAATTACCTAGTTAACATAAATGCTACCTATAATATAACTATTGAATAATTAATCTTTAATTATTTTCATGAATTTAATAATCTTCAGAATTGTGTAAAAAAAAATTCATAAAACTATATTGTATAAGTTTAAAATTACATATTTATTTTTTATAAATTGTTATAATTTGTTTAACTTATTATTATTATTATTGCTAACAATTCTATAGGTATTAGATACCTACTAATATTATATTATGCATAATTGTTAGTAAATTGCAGCTAGTAACTTCTTACATTTAATTATATATATAATAAATATATAAATATTGTTATCTAATATAAATATCAATTAATTTATGTATTACTTATACAAAATTAAAATATATTATAAATTACAAAGATATTAGTACAATCTACTTCAGATTTCTGAGCTTGTTTAAACAATGATTCTTTTTTATTTTATAGATATTTTCTGAGTGTAGATATAATAAATAATAGACAACAAGTTTAATTGTGCAACAGTATTAAACTGAAATTATTTAATCTACATTATTTTACCTAATTAAAAGTAAACCTACAACACAAGTAATGTTTTTCTCATTATTCTCAATTCTGAAAACACAATAAGAGCTAGTTCAATTACCTTTATATCAGGATAAATTTTAATTTTTAATCTTATCAAACAAACTTTTTTTAATTTTTTTTTGATTTACTAAAAAAAATAATTCCTGCAGTACCTATGTAACCAATCTACAACCTATTTATAGTAAATTTGTAACATTCTAACATTTTATAATGTTTACATAATATACCAATAGTAATTGAAACGAATATATATATATATATATCTTAATATTCAAAACGTGATTATCCATTTTTTTCAGCGTGTAAAATAGGTATCAAAAACAAAATAACAATAAATATAAAAATAATTATTAATGTATTTAAATTACCTTTGGCAGACTGTGTTTTGGTTGAGTAAGAACGGTATGCGATTGGTTTATTTCTTGGCGAACTCATTATATGACATCACATGAATACAGGTATGTGGATACGAAATATCCTGTAAAATCGGAAAGATACATTTTGTATAATGAACATAGATTCAACACATAAAAATGTGTACATAGTAGCAATGGACACAACTATTATTTATGATAAATAATATCAGTATAAATATTTTAATAACATTTTACACTCTGAACTATGCAGTAGATAGTATTCTTCAAAACGTTGAAATTAGTATTTAATTGTAGTTAGATTATGATATTGATAAATATTATTATAATGGCTAAACGGTCTAATATCAGAAAGCAGCAGTATTATAGACTTATAGGTAGTGTGGGTATTATTTGAATAATCAATCTAATTAAAAAATGTTTTATAACAAAAATGGTGAAATAGAATTACAGTCTATTTAAATAGTATCAGCAAAATGACAAATTTTCAAATATAGGTATGTAAGTAATTATAATATTCAAGTTTTATATTTTGACAACACATCTCATGTGAAAGGGCACATATGCAATTTACATATGCAAATGTGATAAATAAATATTATGAAACATTGAATTTAAGTATAGCTACCAAGTTAATTCAGTGTTCAAGAATTTTATATTTAATTTTTATAAAAATTTGTAACAAAATCTACACCTATATAATATGATAATTATCCGACCAATTTAAATAATGACTTACACAAGTAACACAATTTTATTATTTGCATAGTTTTATAATATAATTAAGTTTCATTTTGAATAACTCGCCCATTTATACCTATGTAATCATTAACTAATTTTTTTTTCATTTACAAAAATGTACAATTATCAATAATTAATATCGATTGTAATTCTAAATTAGTTTTATTATCTATACCAGTTGATATAAATACTTAAATCCACTGTTCAAAATAATTTGTACATATTTGTACTATTATAGACCACCAACATAAATTGAAGATTAAAACAAAATAAATTTGGAGTTCAAAATACTTGTCTAAGACAATAGCATTAAAATGATAACACAACTATTATAAATTCAAAATAACACTCATATTTATATACATCTATCAAAAAAAGATCAAATAGTACTTCTTTAAAGAGGAAAGAATGTTCAATAAATTATGCTTTCTTGTTTTTTTTTTTTTTTTAATTTTGTAATTTTTACACTGAGATAGTTAATATTAATGAATAAACCCAGGAACATTTTAACATATTAACAAAGAATGCATTAATTAACTATTACCATATTAATTTTGTATGCATTTTTGCAAATGACTATGAATGTATAAAATAATAATATGAATAGGACATATACTTTAAGGTTACGATTTATACTCAATGTTTAAATTAATAAAAATAAAACAATACTGAAATCAATTTTCTTTGTTTTTATTATGTTTAATAATAAAAATTAAATCAATATGAAAATTATAATACAGTGAACCAAGTAGGTACTACAAAACAAAAAATTTACATATTTCATTTTTTTCAGACTCACAACAGAACATTGCATTGTATAATATAATAATGCGTTGATCATTTATGAAAAATATAATAAAAATAACAAATGTATATCTAAAATAATTTTAATCATTAGTAAGCCTATTTGGCAGTAAAATAAATTTTACCCACAATAGGTTTAACATTTTTTTTTTTTTTTTTATATTTAAACACACTAAAAGTAATAAAATTATCACCAATTAAAAAAAATATATATAATACAAGTGCAAAATAATATACACACCTATATAAGTCAAATGGAAATGTACAATTATATAAATAGGTATTTCTATATAAAATAACCGATTTCCATTATAATGGAAATAAACACACAATTATACTTTGATTTATTTTAAAATCCTTTTTTTTTTTTTTTTTTAACATGATATATTTTTTGAACAACAAAGCGCATACATACAAATATTGCTGATAATTGGCAGTTAACAAAACATAAAAATAAAATGAACAATTTACATCATTATGATTGGAAAAAAAAAACTACAAAAAAAAAGGTACACTTTAACTATGTACACACGGAATAAAATTTAAAGTAGTTGCCCCAAAAAAAAAATAAAAAATAATAATGACTGAAACATTACCCATTAATTAAATAATAATAGACAACAAATTAAAAATATTTCTTGTTGATTACCGTTATAATAATAAAATAATATGAAATTGCAGTCTTAGTCATATTTATAACATATTTAAATGTTGGTTAAATTATATAATTAATGGTTATAATTTAAATTTTAATGAGAGCATATTATTAAAAATATTGGTTAAAGAGGATAGGCAAATTAAAGAAGGTAAACATTTAATAACAGGCATATAATATATTGTAGTTACTTTTTTGAACAAAATATAAAAAAAATTGCAAGTCTTAAACTGGCATGCAAAATAAGAAAAATAAAATAAATTTATTTTCTTAATCTTACCAAAACTAAATTTATCAATTTTTCAATAAAAATTTAAAAAAAAAATTATTCATTAAAAATTAAAACAATATAGGTAGATTGAATAGATTTTATGAAAAAAGTATTAATATTGAAATGTCACAATTTTAGCCTTATATAATATACTCTACTTTGTACTAATTTTAAGTTACCACTAATAGGTGTTTGGTAAATACAGACAAATATTATTATAATGAAATGATGGTTACGATAACGACAATGTGTCTCGTATAAGCTTTTGAACAGCTGATCCGACGGAAGGGCTACTTGCATTATCAGTTAGGTAATTTGTCTTAAATAAGTATGGTTGAATATCAGCGAATGACGTGTCAAATACTAAATCCAACTCAGACTGTGGTGGTATACTAGGCAAGTACTCATGCCTGTTCATTATTTCCGCTATGTAAATTATTTTGTCACTCAAAGAGTCACTTATTTTTTCCCTTGATATTTGTCTATTAGTTTCGTTATAAATTTTCAACAAATCCACACGCACGTTCCACACTTCCCAAGGTATACTCTCTGGCTGAAATGGCCATCTAGCTTTTTTTTTCTGAAAAAATTCTAATGTGATTTGTCCAAACGTGTGATTGTCACGTCTAAGGCATTCAGAAAATTCTGAAATGTCACTTCGAAGTTTACGGTCTAAATGTGGTGATGAACAACATATGTATGTAAAATCAATGAAATCACAATCAACATCTTGTAGACCTACAGTACCCATAGTATATGTGCCGTCGGGAGCAAAACTAAATTTTCCAAGTGATCGATGTAGAAGAACAGTATGAAATAGACAGCGGACGACTTCATCTACTTGAAAGCCTTCAACGCTTAACTCAAGAGAGTGGGAACGTGCGTTCATTTCGTAGAAGAGATGTAATCATTTCTTTTGTGCATAGATTGTAGAAAACAGCATACACACTGCATACAAAACTGTAACAATACATATTTTAAATAGGTATTATTATTATTATAATGAAATATTCTAGACATTGTATTATTCATATTTATATAGATACAATTGAAGTAAGATAATCTCAATTAAATAGTATATAAATAAAAAATATTATTTTAAATGATAAAACAATAAATACATTTTGCAATATATACTATTTTATTACATAGCACACTATTACACTATTTGTCAAATCCAAATATGTAACTCAGTACATAGTAATAAAGAAAAATAAAAATAGTACCTAATAATATTATGTATATAAATTCAGCTAATTAATTAATATCAAATTTCAGAATAGACCTACTATAAGAGTTTCGAACAAAATGAAAATATGATATTTTTCTCCTACATTTTAACTATTAAAAACTCGTATAGGTACTTAGTACCAATTCAATAAATATTATTCAATTATTAGTAAGTATTTATTAATATAATATATCATTTTGATTATTCTTCAATTTAAAATAATTATACTATATTTGATACCTATAAAGCCTACGAAACAAAAGTTTAGATACAAATCAAATACTAATTAAATATAAAATAGAAAGCATAATAAAACAATTGTTTTTTTTCATTACAGTAATTAATATACTAACTACCTACCTACCTAATGTAGGTACCTAACTAAAAATATCATGCAATTAAGTTGTAGAAATATATATTAAGTAATATTTATATTGTCAATTTGATTAAACCTAAATAGGTACAAAATATAAAATTAAATAAAATCATTAATAGAAATTTTAAAAATTTACTAGATACCAATTTTCTGCCATTATACAGAATCTTCCTCAAAAACCTGACAAATGCAACCTTTTTTGTTATGTTAAAAATAGTTTAAAAAATCCATAACCATTTTATAAGTTAATTTTCTTCTTTTTTATAAGGTTATAATAATTTAAATTATTTTCATTGATACTACTAAAAATATCAATTTATTTACCAATTTTTCATAACAAAAAAAAATCCTAATAATACAATAATATTTTAATTATTAATTACTATTTGCAAAGAATAAATTTATATTTTATGTAAATCAACTCATATTTAGTAAATGTTTATAACACAAAAATTTTGTTCAAAATAAATGTATAAATTAGCTCTTAGATTTTGTAAAAAAGTTTTAAAAAAAATAAATACAATATAATAATCATAACACAATGCTCTAGAAATTAAAAAGATATATGTATTAAAAATATTGAACTAAAATTTGTTAGATTTATCTGATCTCCATGGAACACACTGTATACCCACCAAAATATTTACATCAGAACAAATTGCTTTCAATTAAATCTAATAAGTGAAAATATGAAAATAAATTTAGATACCTAATAATTTATATAAGTTATTAGCTTAAACAATTAAAAATATTTTATTTTTTTTTATGAAAATAATTTATCAAAGTACCTACTTCTTTTTTATTTTTTACCAATTATCTCATAAGAAATGCAAAATTAAAAATACAGTTCCACAAAACAAATGTGATCTTATCTATTAAGAATTTAGAAATTCAGAAATGTAAAAAAAAAATATGTAAATAGAAAGTCCATGGAAATATATTATAGTACCTCTTGTATTGAATTTAAATGTTTAAACATTTTGCAAAAAAAATATTACTAAATAAAATAAGGCCATCTTTAAAAATGTATGATTAGCAAGATTTGGAATTCTGAATTCATAATAGTATGTAGTAAAAACTCCAAAACCCACAGAATTGATTGCAAAAAAAATGCTACTTTTTTCAATTATATATTACCTATGACAAAAAATAAATACATTAATAGGTAATATAATAGGTAATGCAAATTTTTATCAAACTATAATCGATAATAAAACAATATAAAATATTATACCCACATTTTACCTAAGTATAATAATATAAAAGTCAAAATAGTAAGTAGACAGAGGTAAACAAAATAATATAATCTCAAGCATACCAAATTGTCCTTAACAATGTATTTTATCAAGCTATATATTTTTAAAAAAAATTATGAATCATAATTCATGATGGTTATTTCCTACCTAATAACTTTTGTAGTTATTAATACTTGCATAAAATGAACAAATTAATTGATTAACTTATAGAAACTAAAGCAAATAGGTACTATTTTAACCTACCTAGCCCTATAAATCCTATTATAATTTTTTTTTTTTTACATAGGTAAATGTATAAAATAAGTTCCGTACTAACCTAAAATGTCGGGGTCCACAGGTTTTGTGTTTCTGAATTTGTGTGTTGAATTAAAAAATAATAAAAATAAAATGTGCACACTTTCACTGATTAATGGTGATAACCCGATAGGCTACTTATTAAAACAATGACACATGTTACATAACAAATGATTATTAATATTAAAAATACAATATAAAATTAAAAACTAATGATAAAAATATATACTTAAATAAAACCAAAGTTAAAAAAATATTAAGCAATGTAATGTAAAAAATGCAATAAAAGAAGCCCGAAAAAAAGCCTCTCATATAATTTAAAAGTAAATAGGTAAGTATTATATGCCTAATGATAACAATAAATATTAAAAATAAAACTAATTATAATAGCATAACTAAATATGTTTCAATTGAAATAGGCTATTTATTAGGCAAGCAAATACCTAAAACATTACAGTGTTTTATCTTTTATCATATTACTATAAGATGTTTGATTGTAAATGCATAGTAGATGTAAAACAACTACACAAGAAATATATATTTATAAATTATCTTGTTGAATAATATAACCATTAAATAGAGCATAATATTAACTCAAAATACTAATGTTACTTATATACAACATATAAAGGATAATAACACTAGAAATATTAATTGTTGAATACTTTGGAAAGGTAAATGGACAAAATAAATTATGAGAAATTTATAAAATATTGTGGTTAGTTAATACAATAAATAGCTTGGGTTTTATTTTATAAAGTAGAAGAATAAGTTTTTTCACATTAAATTTTTCCATTATTTGTTTGGAATAGATACCTACCCATATTTATCCTATCTAAGTCAGTGCCTCACTCTTTGAATTCTTACTATCTCTATTGAATACATTTAAAATATAACCTATTCCACATAATTATTTTGAAAATCTAACTTATCAGTACCTAACCTACTTAAGTACTTAAAGTACATAAAGAACAATTAAATAATATTATGAATAAGTAATAAGTACCTGATAATAACAATTATTGACATCACATTATAAAAAATTGTGTAAAACCAGATAAGTACATTCACGATTTAATCATTTTCAATTCTCAAAATTATAATTTTAGTGTTTCTAAAATCGCCCATGTACCTATATGCAGAAAACAATGTTAAACTCGTATTTAAAATAAAAATAACTAATTGCATGTATTTAAGAACAGGAAGGTAGATAGGCATTTTAATAAATCAGTAGTAATGCATCAATTTTATATCAATATATAGGCTTCAGTTTTTAATTATACAGATGATAAGATATTATTATAATATAGGTATTATAATAAAATCACTACTATATAAATTTGCATTTTAAATCATAATGAAGTCAGCATATTTAAAAATAATCTAAGTAGGTACCTATTTCAAAAGTTCAAACAATATTTTTTGATATGTAATGAATCCAGAACGTTTTGTCTCAAACTGTAAGATATATTAACTATAGTAAGTTTTGTTTTCAGCTCCCAGTATTTTCAACAGAAAACAAATGTAGAGGTGCTGCCAATAATTTTTAAATAGGCCATTAAACATATTCAAGTGATATGGAATTATTTATATTATTAATTTTCCAAATATGTAACAGTCAATATTACACTAACCAGTAGGATCAAAACTTCTGTTAATTACCAATATTTAATAGAAGTAATTTCAACAAAAGTAACTAGGTAAACTGTGTTTAATAATATACAAGTGAGTGCCTATTTTAACCTAGATAATGAAAAAAAAATTTGAAAAAATTTGAAATACATTATTCACTGTAAAAGAGTTAATAATAATTTATTTAGGGTTTAAAAAACTATTTTCAATGATCTTATCCAAGATTTTTCGTTATGAATAATTAAGTAGGTAAATACAATGATATGTAAAACAAATTTTTACAAACTTCCACTAATTTCAGACACTGTAGAAGATTAAAAATTATTATGTCTGTCAGATTTTGTCTAAATAGATAGTGAAAATTAAAATATTAAAAAACACAACAATTGACAAAAAGAATGCAAGTACCTACAGAATATGTAATAAGTATATCATTTTATATAGGTATGTTATGGTTAATGTCGTTATATGTATATTTTTTGCGTATGAAAACCGATTTTGAGATGTTAGTTTTAACATTAGGGTATATTTGTCTATTATTAAATCTAAAGATAAGAACATTGTCTATGTTTGTGTGTTAGTTTTTTTAGATATTTTTATTTTCGAGTTACGGATATGTAAAATACCACAATTATTGTAAGATCAACTAATCTCACTTAAAAGTTAAAATATAGAAAAAAAATCAACATATAAACACAAACAATATTTTCACCTTTAAGTTTGATAATAAGCCAATATACACTAATATTAAAATTAACGGCACAAAATAGATCAATATATAAATATAACATTAACCAATTTCACAACATTTACCATAACATAGACAAATACAAGTGGAAAATAATTTCTAAACTTTAAGAGTACTTTATAAGATCTGTACCTCAATCAGCAACATTATATCATCATACAGACCTAAGTACTTTAATGTCAATTCTATGCTAAGTTAAATAGCATTTAAAATAAAATTACCAAATTATTGTTCAGGTAAGCAAATTTTTCATTCGTTCCTTTAGACGGGAAAAATATTTTCTTTTGCAACAGTTTGAAAATGTCTTAGAATTGCCTACGTATGCTGTAACTTAAGATACCCAGGATGTAGGTCCGTTTTATTTTTAAACCAATCGATTTTGAATGCATTTTATTAGAGGTCGTCAACAGAGTTTAAGCGTGCCAGAATTGAATAGAAAAAAAAAATAGAGGAAGTAAAAAGTACTATTTTCATAACACCGTATCTATTACCAAACGTTTCGAACTCGATGCGTAATCGTAGATAGTTATCGACATGACTGATTAAATAATTAATTATAACAGAAACGAAAAACGAATAATGACGTTATCACGTCACGGTAGAACTATTGAAGACCACGAACAAAAAAAAAAACCGAACCATTCAACAATGCATTGTTAACGCGGCGACGATCGCATGCGCACACGGTTGGTCGAAAAATAACAACAATGAACAGCCAGAGTTAAGCGTAGGAGTGTGGGGGAAGGGGAACGAGTTACAAGAATAGTCGTATCTATTATAAACGCCGTGGAATGGCATAGATACAGTAATTATAATTATCGTGTACGGTGACAATGTACACGGTCTAAAATAGACACGTGTATACGTTAATACTATTATCACGTGCATTGGCATAAACAATAAAACATAAACGCAATAATAATCAACCATCGCGTTAACAGGGCTGAGGGAAGCAGCCACAGAAAACATCCGAGGACAGAGACAACACTGAAGCTCTGAGGAGACACAAGGATTGAAGAACAAAATAAAAAAAAAAATGACACGGACAGTTCACGTGATGCCCCCTCCAATGACCGTGGGCCCACTCCCGTCGCCGTCGTACAAAGAACGTACGAATGTACCTATCTTTTGTGTAGGTAAATCAAAAAGCGAAACGTCCAAAAAATTCCATAGAACACAAGGTCATGTTCATCGCGCCGATTAGGCGATTCTACGATGGTTCCATTGAGTGTTGCTCGGCCGAAAAACCATACATCATTCGCAAGCGACGGGGCCACGAACCAAAAAACAGTATTGTTAGCATTTTTTTAGGAACGTTACGACAATATTCGGATCGGAATAAGTAAACAAGGCCGGTATCGGTAGTGTAAATTGATATAGTGGGATGGTAATTTAAAGCTCCAAAACGATAACAAAAAAAACTTACGTGCACACGGCGTTGTCAGTCTCTTGGCGCGTTCCGATCGGTTTTTGACAGCAACAATTTTGTATCGGTTGAGCAAGATAAAACAAAAGACTAGAGAGTTGAAACTTGTAGTAGATAAGCGCAACAACTGGTGCGAGAATTTCCGTCACTTGACCCGTCGGCGGTGTTGTTGTTTTGGTTGTTGGTGTTTTCGGGAGAGGAAGAGCGGAAGAGGGGACGGACAACACTACGCGTTTGTCGTGTCGTGTATTGTATACGTTTAGTGCGTTTTGTTATTGTGCAGTTGTATGATGTATACCACGTCGTCGTCGAGTTTCTCTCGGATATTTTCGCACCCGATGCGCGGTCGTCGATGTATATTATTATCGCGCTCACGGAAATGACGACGAGCGCACGGACGACGGACAAACGACAACGACGGCGACGTGACGTCGACGGATAAACACAGACCAAGAAACAAAAGAGGTTCCCGTCGGTGGCACGGACTACGCACAATAGTTACAGCAGTGCAGCCAACATAAGCGACTGTGTTTTTTATGTCGCGACCGACCGCAACTGCGAGTTTTTACAACTACGGTAGTACGGCAACGAACACACGATTTGAATGATGACCACAGATATATACATAATACTACATAGCCGATTGCTATAATATAGTCTATAACCTAACCTTGGTCTATCGTCTACGCGTATAAAATAATGTCTCCAACAAAATGGCGGCTAATCGTTATCTTATATGTGACTGTGTAGACACTGTTCAGATATATCTAGATATAGCCAAAGATTAATCACCCTATGGGTATATCTTAGTCCGTGCTGTTACAAATTAAACTGATATGATACGTGTTAAGATACTATTTCGGAGGTCCATAATATTTTATTTTTATTTTTTGTTTAATATATCTATGGCTTACACTAAATGACTTAGAGCCGTTTTCACCAACGTAAAAAAATGCGTTTATCTAATTCTTAAACTTAGTTTATGGCTAATAACCGACCAAGATTAGTCGATTATCTTATAAACTCAGTTTAAAAATCAATGTTTACGTTGGTAAGAACGGGCCTTGTTTACCAGACGTACGAGAATTCTCGTACATGTACTAGAATTTAGAATAAACCATTTGTATGTACGAGGTACGAGGAACATTTTCCTCATACACGTTTTATACTAGAAATCCATGAAGATCTAAATGTATCAACTTTTTTTATTTTAAAGTTTTCAAGTTGTCCAAAAATGTATTTATTAAATTTTTTTCTGATTTTTAACATTAAAATATTCTATTAATATGCGTAGATTTATAATTTTTATAAAATTTAATCAATAATGAAGACTATTATTTATGACGAAATAGATATGTTACCCGGGAGAATTGTTAATTCGTGTTTAATAATTATCCCATTTAAATTATACAACACTATGTTAAAACCACGGTTAAAAATATAAAAATAGATCCATAAACTAATAATCAAAGATCCATTATCCTGTATTATTTGTCTAGTACCTATTACCTAATAACTGCAGTGCCGAATAGTGGTAACCTTTATTCTATGGTGGCAACTGCAGGCAATTACCTTGAAAACACTTTTGTCGTTATTTGTAAATAAAAAGTATTCAAATAATGTTATAATTGAATGAATGAATTAATATTTGTTTTTGTTACATTTCTTCTAGTTATTTGTCCCAAAATAATATTTAAATTTTTAATATACTAGTTATCCCGCCCGATGTTGCTCATATTAAGTTTAACATGCTAATTTTTTATTTCTTTTAATCATTGAACAATTGAACTAAAATATTAGGTGTACAATGGTTAAGATAACTAATAGTACCACCACAGATTTTATTAATATAATCATTTAATTAATTAAGTAATGCGAGAATAACTGTTTGATAATCTGGCAACCCTGAGGGAATGAGTGAGTACTAACCGCTAACGATATTGTTATGATCAATATCCAGTTGCAAACAACAACGAACTGTTAACCGAAACTCTTACGTCAAAGTACGCCTAAATTTTTTTTTTAAATTTTAACGGTCAACCGATTGTTTTTGCGGACTACGATTTACGAAGATTTAGGATGGACCATTTTCAAACTGGACACGATATGGTGAGCAGATATTAGTGGCATAATCGGAAATTGTTGCCTACTAACTCTATACGCATGCCTAACGGATAACTTCAAGAATTAAAACAAATTGTGACAGTAGCTGCCCGTTGATAATCTCATTGTAATAATTTAATATTGGTTTTTATTATGATAAAGTTAGTACTTAGTATAATATATTTTATATGTTCTTCACTAGAGTGTGTTATGTAATACAGAACAGGTAACTGACAAACTGATTCGTTTTTGATCGTTCATATTCAATCCAGTATTAGACATAATATCTTCTAAGTCCTTGGTGATGGCAAACTATGAAAACTATAAAGTGTGAATGCCGCAATAATCGTTTGTCAAGTTGAGCGGTGAAGACAGCCGCACAAAATCGAAAACTGTAAGTACCTATCCGACAATAACGAATTATAATTTAAAACGGCTGTGGTTGGATACGATTTCTTAAGGCGGCGTCGTAGTATTTTATAAATTATTTAGTCGCCCCTTGATATATACTATTATTTGTCTGATTTTCATAGCGGTTTTACACACGATCCGCGAAATCTCTATTTGAATTTTCCTTTTTCGTGAAATTAAAGCACGATTCGCCGCTCAACCCGTATCGTTTATTTGCGATTGTCATTTTGACCGAGGTTATTCGCTATCACAATACTTACCTGCCAATAACGTGTAGAAATATTATCATATGAATACGTTGCTCTCCTAAGCAAAAACGCTGTAAGTCAAAAAAAATATAAAAATAAGTTATATACATTAAAAATTCGTAAAATTCAGACGTTTTAGGTCAATATGCCGTATGTCTGAAATATTATTCTATAAAACAATTATTATAATATTGGTTTTGACAAAATGCTGTAAATGATCAAAAAAATGCATTTTTATCAAATAAAAATACCGTTTAATATCCATGCTAAACAAAAACATTTGATGGCATTTTTGCTTAGTAGGTAGAAAATAAAAATAATAATTTGCGGCGTTTATACTTAGTACAGATAGTCGTTTTATTTATCGTATTGTACCCATTAAATCATCAAAATATACCTAATAAAAGTTAATATAATAATAAAGAAACTTTATAAATGATACAATATCAATTATTTGTTAGTTATTTATACAATTAACCATGGATTCTATTCACGATTATTCTGTACAGTTCTATATACCAATATTAACAATCAATGCAAAAATTTAAGTAAGTACTTCGGAATTTGTTTTTTTTTATTTTATTGCATTTATCAGTTAAAATACCATATGCAAATCCATATAATACTTTAATAAGTAAAATATAAGAGGTATTATGAATTTTAGAAAATCCAAAATGAAAAACCTGTTTTTCTCAAAAACATCTAATGACCTATGTCATTTTTGCTTATGAGGACAATATGTAAATTGGGTATAAACTTGTATGATAAGTAACTATTTTATAATAAAAATATTATCAAAAACAGCGTGACAATAATAATTTGTAATTCTAGGTACCTAATTATTGACTAGAACAATTTGTATACTATGATTATTAATTAATTTTTGTTTAAACTAGGTAGCTATAATAATCTGTAGCGCACAGATATACACAATGAGTGATAAACCTGAAGAATTCTCTCAGCGTATGTTAGAAAGGGCACTCAAGCGCCAAGAACTGCTATCCACAGTGGTAACATCTAGAATATTAGAACCATTAGAGATACCTGAATCAGCAGAACCAAGAGCACTATCAGAGATATCAGAGCTATCAGTAGCATCACAGCTATCACCATCAGAGTCACTTTATTCACCAGCACCAAAAGAACCCACAATACCAGATGTGTCCTCAGCACTAACACAGCCATCAGTAACAGAGTCTTCAGTACCATCGAAATTAACTGAGTCTTTAGTGACCTCAGCACTAGCAAAGTCATCAATACCACAGACATCAACAGAATCCTTTGTACCACCAGTGTCATCAAAATATTATGTTAATACTGTAGAACCATCAGTTTCTCTTTATCAACGAAGACAGCGTCTTACTGAATTAGCTAATCGCATTGATTTATGGACATCAGAAGAGGAAACGAGTCGCTATGCAAAATCCAACGAAGTTAAAACCAAATCCTCCACACATAATATACAATTAGAAGCACCAGTTGAAACTATTACCAGTACTAACAAGGAAAAAACTAGATTGGCAACTAAGCCTTCTTCTGGCCTAACTAAAATTAATGAAAAATGTGGTTTTACAAAATCCAATATCTTCAACGAGTTAGATAAATTGATAAGTCTGCCTCCTTATCGCCTAAAAACAATTAAAAAACATAATATAACAGACGCATTTGGAAATAATTCAATTTCTTCACAGCAATTTCATCCAATACCAGTTCACAATTCTTTGGATGATAATGTTAATGACTATAAAATTAAGGTTAATGAAACACCATCAGTTGCAGCACGTCGAGCAATATTTGAAAAATTTACTGCTCAACCACAGAATACAAAATCAGTTAGCACTACTAATGTTTCCGTGTCTGTGCCAAAAACCACTTCTGCCATTGCAAATTCTTCAGCTGTTAGATCTATGAATACAGTTGAAAATAAATCCTCTGCTGTCACTGACAATGCTAATGCTACAGTTGTAACCCCCACTACTGAAATTGCTAATGATACAAATATGATTGATACTTTAAGTAAATCTCCAAAGTCTCTTAAATACAGCCATTTATCAATGCGTACACCCTCTGAGTATAGAACTTTTGGGAGTACATCACCGGTGAATTGTGATACTTGGAATCCACCATGTATAAAAAACGTACTATTTAAAAAGAAATCGTCTGATACATTGGACACATTAGATAATATGTGTGATGACGATGGAGTATTAGCCACCAGTAGTCCCTGCAATACTTCAATCGAATCTCCAGCAGATAAAATTGTTAAGTCTGTTGGACGTGTACAATTTATGTCACCTTTGTCAACTAATGGACTTTATCCTAAAATAGAGGTTATTGACAACATTAAAAATGAAACTATTTCAATAGAATCAGAAAACCAATTATCCAGTTCCAAGAGACGCAATGATGGAAGCAATACTTTTAACAGTTCTACTCAATCCTTTGAATCATTATCTAAATACTCTAACGATGATGATGAAAGTATAGTTGCCAAACGCCGGTGTGAATTTGGAGTGGTAGACACAAATTTGATAGCTATTAAGACAGAAACACCATCATTGCTATCAGATTCTGATGGAACGTTTTCACAAACTTCCAACAGTTTTACATTCTATCAACCACCAAACAATGAACTTTGTCAAGATGATGTAGATACAAAACCACTGGCATTTAATGGCCTTGTTGATTCTGAAAAGTCCCAAGACTTCAAAGAAACCGGACTGTTAGAAGAACCCAAAGAAAGACTTCAAACACACACATTTACCCAATCACCACTTATACATACAGTAAGTATGTATCGTAAGCAGCAACAACTCAGACTAGCTAATAACAAGATGAAAACTAACGAACAATATGAAGAAGAATCCCCGAAAAATAATTATATTGATGATGAGGAAGAGGTAAGAGCGTTGGAAATTACAGCAGAACGTATAGAAATTTTAGAGAATACAGTTAAAGAGCAAAATAGCATAATAAGCCAAGCCACCCAAGCACTGAATATAAGTGATATGTATAGACAAAAAGCCTCACAGTCTGATGAATATTCAAATGAACATTTGCATGCTGAGCGTCTTTTACTGATTGCAAATTTAAAGCGAACAGATGCAGTGCTTGAGGTGCAGAGACTACGTTATGAACATCATCTATCCCCCACAGGCATTGCTGGAGGATTTCGCTTTCGCCCCCCTGGAAATGGCAAGAGACTTGTTATTGACAGTCTACGTATCCCTTTATTGACTGCAGTGAGAAATTGTTCTACTAAGAACAAAAGTGATCCTAAAACTTTAACTAAATGGCCTCAGGAAATTAGGTATTTTGTGTGTGTTGTTCGAGCGACAGCTACAGTGTACCGACCACCTATAACAACAGCTACCCGACCTCTTGATGCCATAAAAGAGTCAATTTATCGGTTCACTGTAGGCAATCGCATTCCGTACAATGAGCTTGGTTATGGGTATGTAGAGTTCATTATCAAACCAAATAGTAGTTCTGGCCGCAGGTATCCTGATGCTGAAGGTGCCCCTATTATAATTGATGGTTTGGACAATAGTGGGTGGAAAATAACGGTAGAGTTATATGGGCTCTATCCAACAGCATCTAACGTGAGTTCTGGTAATGATAAGGAACATCATGAAAAAAGTGTACTGGACAAGTTGTGGTCTTCAGTTACACCAAACAAAGAATCAAAAAAGCATAATTTTTCAAAAGTTCCAAAGATAGAATCACCTGGGGGATCATCAGCGGTACGGACTTCAATGTATCGTCAACTAGCTTACTTTGTGTTTTCTAGCAACGAGGTGGGTCGCAGACAGTTTACCCTAAATAAGGTTCATCAGTCCGGAGGTATTACAAGTACTTCAAAATCTGCTGTACCAATTGATGAACCAGAAGTTGCACGTATATGTATGCAGATGCTTGAAGATGGTGAGGAATACGTTCAATCAGACTTAAATGGTAGTATTTCGTCTACAAGTCATGAGGAGAATTTGGTAATAAAACCTTTGAAATTACCATCCAAGTGCAAGATTACTGAAGGATTTATTACACTATTCGATGACTTTGCATTACGCATTCCTTTTGAATTTGAATCAAATGAAATACCAAGATGGCAGAATTTCTCGAACAATAATACCAATAGTTTAAGCAATGCTTTGTGGACTCGTTTATGGTTTAAAGTCGAAATCATTAATGATCCTAATGCTCAGAAGGATGATCAAAATTATGAGATAATAAATAAAGAAAAAATATATCCACAAACTGTGATATTAAAATACTGGCTGTATCCTGAGCATTTTGAACAAAACCGAGAGCCAAGGGGTATCATTGATCTAAGTGGTTGTTTGCCATTATTAAATGGAATGTTAAATTCAAGTGATCTTAGACAATCACTTCCTATTGTCCAGCCATTTTTGAATTCATCTATTAGACCAAATACAGTGCGGCTACTATTTTCTGCCAGTTATCAAATTCATAATGCAGATAATTATCGTGATGATAATGTTATGAATGAACCATTACTACTAGCTTTTGATACACTAAAGGAGCGAGATGAGTGGTGTAATACAATAAATGAAGCTGTGAATGCCATTGCTGCACACCATGAACAGTTCAACATAGTTCGTAAATTTCGTGATTAAAGAACAACAGTTAATAGGAATATAATAATCCCGCTACAAATAATTCATGTAATCCATAACAAATCATTATAGATATTATTTTTACCTCTCTCCCTTTCATTGTATGATCTTTATCTAGCTATTTATACACAATTATAGTTTTATTATAACATATAAAGAATATTATTACTTTTTTATTATTAGAGTATAAATAAATGTAAAATGTCTTCATTTTTTTTTTTTTTTTTTTAGAATTTATATTGAATGTATGTGTGTTTGTATTGTGCTTTATACTAAATGCAATTATTTAATTATAAACTATTTGTAATTTATATAAATTATATTTACTAAGAGTTATACAATTTTTCACAATTTATTGTAGCTAAGCTTTATTATTATTTGTATGACTATAATAAAATAAATATTAATGTTGCAGTTTCAGTAAAACAGCCTAATTTCATGTTGCATAAAAATAGTCCGGCACTGTGACCACTATGAAATTTCAGCATTGTTATAATAGGTACAACTTTTGTTTTGTAAAATGTCACCAAACAATTACCAATACAATAATATATTAATACAAATAGTAGTGCTTATTATTTTGACAAACAGTAGGTAGTTCTGTGACTTGCGACTTGAGTCTAGTGACTTAGTTTTTTTTTTTTTTTTAAATAGATACCCTGGCTAGACCAGCTATGGATGAACGTTCATTTGTTTACTAAATTGGAAGTTAAATCAGTTTGCTTAAGCTTTATTGTTTTTGCAAAAGAAGATTTATTTTATAAGATCAATATAATGTATATGTATACTTGTGTATTACATTAAAAAAATGGGGATGTGTGGTGTCTTTTATCTATAAATAGGTTGGTAGGTTCAAGGATTCTCCAGACCAGTGAGGTGATAAAAGTTTGCGCCACTACTATACAATTACATTTATTTATTTTTTAACTTTCATTTTCTTTTATTTACTTATAATATTATTATTATTAAATATTGGATAATAATGCTATCAAAATGAAAAATACATTATCACATAATGTTCTGAAATTTTATTATGATGCTAAAACAATAGTGTCTCGCAAAAAATGGTTTTCGTAAACATTTTATAGTTTTATCGTTTCACGATTTAATTTACCTAATAAATACTTTTGATAATGACATGAGAATACTTTTAAATCTTATTTTAAAGCTATTTCAGCCCCAAAGATTGAAGTTTATTAAAATTAAAAATTTTCTTTTTGAAGATTACTATATAGCAGCGGTTCTTACTCCCTGGGGGTCCGCAATACTCATTTCAGGAGTCCGCGGCAGCCTTAACACCTAACATAACTCAATACGTGACATGAGTGCATTATTACAATATTTTTGGATTATTTTTTTTTTCATATAAAATTATAAAATATATATTGTAAGTCTTACAATACCTTCCGTGACCTATGTTATCTTTATTACACCAATGACAATGTGGAATTTCGATACCATTAAGTATCTAAACCTATTAATTATATTATTAATATTTATTTATCAGTTTTTCTTGTTCATTCAAATTGTACAGGCATACAGCACTTTAGTCAGCAGTCGTATATTTACTACCAATAAGTGCAGTTGATCTGTTTTATACCTACATAATTTATGATTAATACGTGATATTTTTTCAAATCATCTTAAAGACATTTAAGTTAAAATGAAACGTTGGCTACATTTAAAAAGGAAGAATTCTGACGTTGATGATGAAAAGACTGTGTATGAAAAAAAAAAGTCAACAAAACTTCATAAGTATGATAGTAATTATTTATCAATGGGCTTTACGTGCAACGGATTTGAAGAAGAACCAAAACCTCAATGTGTGACTGTACCAGATATAAGTAGAAATTGGATTCAACAACCTTTTTAAATTGATATTCATCAAATAAATGGACATCATTGGAAGAAGACAGCCTTGTAGAAATGTCTACAGATACTAGTTTAAAAATTCAATTCAATCAAAAGTCATTAGACAATTTTTGGTTGCATGTTCGAAAGGATTATCCACAATTATCGAGAAAGCTCTAAAAGTTTAGATTCCATTCCCCACAACTTATTTATGTGAAAAAGCCTTTTCTGCCCTCGTTTATATTAAGAATAAGTTTTGAAACCGAATAGAAAACGTAGAATCTGAACTACGATTAAAGCTTTCGAGTATTGAACCCGATGTTCAAAAACTCGTAACTGAATTTCAACATCAATCATCGCATTAAGACTTAATAATTAAGTAAATAAAAATTAAGTTTTAAGAATATTAAGAATAAAATAATTTATATTACAATTTTTTTTCAAATTTAAGTGTTTAATGATGTTAAAGTTTAAAATTAAGTTTAATAAAAATAATTATAAATGTGTATATTTTGTTATGTCTACTTCTATAATTTGTAATACAAAATAGTTATTATAATTTTGTTTATGATAACTTGATGTTTTGTAAAAAAAAGGTACTCGACAAAAAATTGGTAGAGTCCACGATTTCTAAAAATCTTTCATCTTTCATCAATATTCTACAAAAGGTTAAGAACCACTGCTATATAGAACTCAAATATGAGATCAAATTAAAAAATTTTTCATTTTCATGAAAAACCTAGTTTTTCCTGATCTAATGCTGTATAGCATCATTGAGAGTATAGGGATATATATTTTACACTTTAAATTTGAACTTGGATATTTATTCTAAAATAAAATTATCAACTTTTTAAAAAATATATAAAACACAAAACTTCAGACTTTAGAGTAAGTAAGTATAACAAGCTTTTTTATTACATTGATTAATAATTATAGAAACGTAAGTTTAAAAATCCTTAGTTTTGATATTTTAAATATTAATTCCAAAACAATTTTGGCATTTTTATAATTGACATAATCAACTAGATATCAATGAACTACTCAATTTCATTATTATTTATAGAGAACCCAGATTTTGTAGTTGGATTAAAATTAGTTTGATAAATTTTTATCATTTCAAAATCAAAACATTTTTTGAAAATTCAAAAGGAAAAAAAGTAAATTAATTAGGAAGTGGTGGTATAAACTGAACATCACATTAATAATTTTGATTTTCCCATGTACCACTTATCCATATAGATCTCATTGATATATTTTCTATACAATTGTTAGGTACATCTTTATAAAGATCATCTTCCAAATTTTCATTATTTTAACTCGTCATCTTTTCCTAAAAGTGTTGAATCTGACCTATTGAATGGAATATTACCAAAGATTTAATCCAAAATCAGTTATATATTTTTTAAATAACAATAATAATAATACAAATTAAAAATAAATTTACCAAATTATATAATTGCAGCTCATTTTGGTGCATTAAGTTATCCGTGTCTGAATGTATTCAACAAATCAATGTCCTCTTCATCTGCCTTCAAATTTCTTTATGTCTGACAAATCTTCACTCAGTATGTTTTTGCAATCTATTCATCACTGATAGCTATAATGTATACTGAATAACAATAATAATTATTATTTATTATAATAAAGAATTATTGAATAATAAATGTAAACAAAATACACATTTTGCAGTCATGACAGTATAAATATTTAAAATAAATATATTATGTACATCCTAATGATGCCATATGGAATCATCAGATGTTAAACATTGTAACATCTAAACTAAATCAAATATTATAAAATTAAATAGTTATTTACATAATTGATTTATGTATATTGTTTCATAAAATTTACTAAATAGCATAATTTATAAACTTAATTACCTAAATGTAAAAGAATTCAATACAAGTCAACCCAGTTATAGAGTACTGTAATTATAAATATATATATATATATATATATCTGTGGTTGTAATATACAAAACATAATCAATGATAACACAATCAACAATGAATTTGGCGCTAAAATCATAGATAATTTAAGAATACATATCATATTAAATTATCTATGGATATACTTAATTCACAGACATCTATCATCTCTATCTATATTAAATATTAAAATATTGTCTATGAGTATAATTGCCAAAACAATCTTTAATCGTGCCAGTGCTTAGTGCCTATATCAAAGTATTTTTGATGTTTTAAACTTTCTATTATTATTATTTTTTATTTTCATTAAATTCGATATTACTTACTATTAAGTAAAAAATTTAAAATTAATTGGTGCACAATAAGGTTTTTATAGTTATCTTTGAATACAACTGTATAAGTACTTTAACTACATCTGTCATGGCGCCTGTCAAAAAAAAGGTAGGTACTTTTATATATTATTATTATAAGTTATACAAGACATTTTACATAGCTTTACAAGTTTCATTAAAAACAATTGATATTGATTTGTATTAGTGTTATGAAAACATTGAGTAACTCAGAAAATGGTAAGGTATTACTGTATTAGTAAGGAAAATATTAGGTTGCTGTATGTATGCAGTGTAATAGTATAAAATCTTAAAATAATTATATTATAATTTATTTAAATAGATAACGCTCTGATCCACTACAATAAACCTGATGTATTCATTTTAAAAAGTAAATCCTACTTTCCTCTTCATTTTCAGCTATTATTGCTGTATCATTCGCAAATGTAGCATATGAATATTTTTGACATTCAGCTTTATTGAAATGCAATTGAATGATTGCATTTCCTCTCTTGTGATGTATATGGCTTCTTGAATGTATACATTAAATATGTTAGGTGAGAGAATGCAACCCTTGCCTTAATATTTTTCTTATTCATAATTTTTTTTCAGTTTCACCTAGTGGCACCGAAGTAGTTTAAAAATACTCGGGAAAACAAGTCTGATTGTTATATTAAATACAATATTATAATATATAATTTATAGCACTATTTGTATAGTTTCTACTTATACTATGTATATTTAAAATCACTGGCACCGCCCCCCACCCACTACCAAAAAATTTGAACCAGTACCCTAAATTCAGCACCACTGGTTTCACCAATTTTTATAATAGCTATTTATAGTTTATAAAATAATCTCGTTTGAGTGTGCTTTACACTTGCTCTCTTTAGTATTTTGAACCTTACTGACCCGTGAATTAATATATATAATTATTTATTTAATCATAACTTTTAAACTGACAAATATAAATATACAAAAACATCTAAACTGTTACATTATAGTCAAAATTGAAAGTTTTATCTGTTTTAAGAAGCTAGGATTTTTTTTAAAAAAGAACAGTGGCCTTGACGAAGATGTGAAATATAAAATTTAGTGTAGTTGGATAAAGATAAGAGAAACATAAAATGAAAGTTTAGGACGAAAGTGGCTAACCCCACATAGTTGAGATAAAGCCAAAGGAAAAAAAGAAGCTAGAGTAAAATTCAACCACTATCACTTGGGTAATTTCAATTTTAAAAAACATATTTGTTTTCTTTAATTTCTTTGTTTGGTAGAAAACATTTGTTTATTTTTTTTATTTAGTGAATTTAGTTAAAGTTCCTACATGATGAGTTTAAATTTATTTAAGTGGCATTTAACCGGCACATATTAATAGTGTAAGAAAAAAAATAAATATTTTTTCTGCAAAATAAAGAAAAGAAGTACACAAAGATAAATAATTTTTTAAAACAGAAAATAGACAACTGGAAGTGTTTACTTTCATGTAGCTTATTGATCTAAATGTATGAAAAACTAAATCGCTTTCAACCACCTTAACAAATTATTGGTTTCTTAAATATCTGATTAATATAGAAACACACCAAATTATTGTGTTTTAGAATATAAATTAAAAATAGGAGTCTGTTTAAATGCATTTAAATCATTAAAGAAGATAGACCAAATTAAATAAAAGTTGCTACTTTTACTACTAATGTAAAAGCAATTTTGCTTTGTATTTAATTTATATAAAATAAATTATTGTGTACTATATAGGTTCTTAAAAATATATTGGTCTATACTTAATGATTTGCATTTATCAAGACAACATTTTTCTGGGTTTATATTTTTACCTTTAAATTTAGTAAATTTATTTTTAGTGTAATACACATTCACTATAACAAATTATATTAAAAAATCTAAGTTTTTTATACTTGAAGCCATAAATTGAATAGATACTTAATAAATAAATGTAACAATTAATTCAAGGTATTGTAAAACATGTTTAACATAAATTTGCTTACTCAGAATCGTATTTCATTAGCAATGATTTATAGTTACGTAGGCACGGATATAAATTAAATAACTAAATATCTTACCTTCTTAACCTTACCCATATCTATCAGCAGTATCAGTACATTTTAATATTGTTTTTTTTTTCTAGGAAGCAATAATACTCTCAATTGATATTGGAAAAAATTCTTTACAACTAGATTCAGATGGAAAAACGTATTTTGAAAAAGCTTTATTTTGTGCTTCTATGATTCTACAGAGAAAAGTAGATATTATTAACTGTGTTTTAATATGTTAAAATTAGTTAAGATTGACAATGTATTATAACAATAATTTGTTTATTTTTAATCTAGTTATTAACTGAAAGTAAAGATGATTTAGCATTAATACTATTTGGTTCATCTCAAACAAACAATCCTTTTTCGTCAAATGGAAATTGTTATAAAAATATAGAAATTGTTACTAGTTTAGGAGCGATTACTTGGGATTTACTCCAACATATTACTAATTTATCTTCTACAGATATAACACCTTCAGATTGGCTTAGCACCCTTGTTATTGCTACTGATATGTTGAAAAAGGAAAGCGAGTATGTGTTGATTTTAAAATTTGTAGATCTACTTTGATGTGTAGTTAGTAAAAATACACTTAATTACGTAATTTAAAATTAGACTTATAATTTACTATATTAGTATATATTTCACTTTATTCATAATATTATCATAATGAACATTTCCATTAAAAATTAACTTCAAATAATTGCCATACAAATTTGACATAAATATATTTTTTTTTCTCAGAAGTGAGTGAATAATTAATAATTTAAATTAAATCTCATATTAAATATACATAATATTACATGTAAAATAAAAAAATATTTATACAATTATTTGATACTTATACATTTCTGGTTTTTATTTAATTTGTTAATATTTAATAATTATTTATTTTTTAGTGATAAAATATTCAGTGACCTCCAGATTGTTATGTTTTCAAATTTACCTGATGGTGTTTCGTTAGATAAAATAGATAATATAACAAGATGTATCCAACAACTAAGTATTAAGTTAACTATTATGTAAGTTATAAAATGTGTATTATTTAGTTGTCTAAAATGTATTTTGTCATTATTATATCTACAATTTAATTTATTATTTTATTAAGCAGACATAATTATTTTTTAATTAGTTTTATAATTTTAGAGGCTGTGAATATACGTCATTCAATCCAGTGTTGGAAACATTTATTACAGATACAAAGGTAAGATAAATGAGTAATTATTTAATTATTTCTGTATTTTATCATTGTGGTTAAATCCTAAAATGTATTTATTTTTTTTTATCATACTTAAGATTATATCCCATAAAAGAGTATAGTTTACTAATTATTAGGGACAGATATAAATACATAATTTTTTGATACATGAATATGCACTTTTCAAGAAAAGAAAAAATATTTTATTGCTAAAAAAACTTTATTTATTCTGAATTTACAATAAATGAAATTAATTTCAAAAAAAATAACAGTTAGGATGAATTTAAATGCAATTAGTTACTAATTTACATTTGTTTACATGTGTTTATTATTTATATTTTTATAAATAACAGGAATGACCTCCAAATAATGTTCTAATAAATAAATAGATTGTTTTTATATTTAGGCTACTTGTGTTGATTTTGATTCTGTTTTACATCAACTAAGTCATTGTAAACCAAAAGAAACAACTCCTAGAGCTTGGAATGTTCCTTTAGGCTTTGGAAATGTTTTCAGTATTAAAGTTTCTGGTTACAAAAAGGTATTTTAGTTTGCATTTAATAAATATTTTAAAATTAAAGTAATATATTAGTTTAATATTAAGTATAGTTTATAGTTTATTTAAGTTATTATTTTTTTTCTATCGTCTGTTTGTTTAAGTATAACGTGTTGATTTAATTACAGATAGATGAAGTTCCAAAAGGATTTAAGTGGTTATTGTGTAAAAATTATGATACAGAAGATTCAATAACACCAGTACAAAAGCATACATCTTTCTATTATGTGGACAATGGTGTCCAAAAAGAAGTTGATCATGATCATATAATAGATGGATTTCGTTTTGGTGATACAATTGTACCGGTATCAAGTAAATACTTCACAAAAATAAAAATAAAATTTGTATTAATTATAATTTTAAATAACTTTGTTTCATAGATATAGATATAGATGCGTATGGCTATAAATCTGGCCCCAAAAGTTTACAAGTATTAGGGTTTACAAAATCTAAAAATATACAAAGGTCATTTTTAATGGATGGAGGATCTTATATTTTTAAACCTGATGTGGTAAGTTAAATAAACTTTACAAATAAAAATAAAAATTGTATTTATGAAGTCTTCAAAAAAATGTATCATGATGGTGAGTATGGTGATAAATTAATCATATTTTATGGTGTCTTATTGTGTAAATTGAAGAGATATTATGAATTGTTAAGATAAATAGTGTACATATATTTTATGTCTGTTATTTTACTTATTTATATTTATTTGTTGTAGAATGATTTTATTGCATTTAATTCTATATTTAAAGCTATGGTTGAAAGAGAAGAAATTATGATTGTTAGAAAAGTATATTGCGCTAACAGCATGCCGAACATTGGTGCAATGTTTCCTCAAACTGAAGATGATGAAAATGTACATATATTTTAACATAATATCTCACTTTTAACTAGTTTTTAAAAAATTGAAATATTTTTATTTTATTTTAGTATTTTGTTTACGTCAATCTACCATATGCTGAAGATGAGCATTTGTTTAAGTTACCATCATTAAAATTATTTAAACCAAATGCTGAACAAAAAATTGCTGTGCATGGCCTTATCAATGCAATGGATTTGGATGATGATGAGTAAATTAGAATATAATATTAAATTGTATAATTTGTATTCCTTTAATTATTTGATTATTGTTATTTTAGAGATGAATTATTTTTACCAGAGAATACATATAATCCAGAACTACAATACATGTATTATTGTATAGTTCAAAAAGCTATCAATAAAGATAAACCATTAATAAAAACAATCCCGAAAAATATTCAAAACTTTTTATACCCCAATAAAAATTTGATGGAACAGGCTAAACATCCAATAAATATGATAAAAGAATTGTTTTCACTTGTACCAAAAATTGATGAAAAGTATATACTTTGTGTCATTAAACTATTAAATATTTATTTTTTTTTGTTAATTTAATAGAAAATTACTAAAGAATAATGTTACTTCAAAAGTTGAACTCGGTGACGAAAAAGAATATATTAAAAAGCCATGTGTAATTTCAGCTTACAACCCCGTAGAAGATTTTAATAAACTTTTAGAAGAGGGAATTGAATCAAATATAGGTAAAACTACAATTTGTTTTTTTTTTTTACATTTTAAATTTTAAGTTAAATATTTGAAGATTCTATGTTTTTATAAATAAAATTCAGTACTTTTTTTATTGCATTTTTAATCTAGTTATCCATCTAATTCAGTGGTTACCACTAGGATTCTGAAAAGAGCCAAATATAATTTTTGAAAATTATATGCGGTCCGCATACAGTAAATCAATTCTAATTTTTTTTGCAATATTGACTTAAAAAAAATGTTAGCGGTTTTTTTTTTATTAAATACATTTTTTCTTGAACCTACCTGTCAAACTGGTAATTCAATTAAAGTTAAAAGTCTACAGATAAAATATACAAGAATAATAAGATAAAATAAATAAAAGGTAATAATAATGTAGTGTGGCATTTTGCCATCACATAAATGATGCTATAATACTCCCCCACTTCTTTTTTTCATTGGCCTATTAATATAATCCATTAAGATCCTTAATAATTTCTACAACTTTTCTCCACTTATCCCTATTTGTTTCCCTTAAGCATGTCAATGATTTCTAGAACACAGAGTCTTTATGACTCATTATTCTTCCTTCCTTCAATTATTACTGAATAAACATTATACACTGGTACATAAATCCTTCTGAAAATATTTCTCTTGAATTTTTGAAATTTTTGTCACCTTTATTCTCCCTCACTTCCAATTTAAAGGTGTAATATTTCGTTAACAGGTTGATGGAAATCAAAATTGTTGTTTACATTAAAATGTATTTAAAAGAAAGCTGTCCAAGGGTAATGAAGACTGGTGCAGCCACTGTTTAAATTGGGAATTTGGGAAAGTGGGATATAGATGTGAATTTAATGTATATCTATATAACGAATAACAATTGTTAATAATTCTGAGCGGAGTTCGGTTGATAGTGTTGCTTTGTCAACAATATATATGTCATATTATGGTAAAATAATTAAATATGTATTAAACATTTTTTTTAATAATATTTGTTAATATTCTACCTTCAGTTTTTTCAACTCTCTTTTCTGGTTTTTCATATTTATTGGGAAAATCAAAAAAAAGACCTCTCCAGTCAGATTTCCTTTTGGAAAAAATGCTGTAAATTGAAGCAAAATTGCTAGAAGAAAAGTTATCCACAGAAAAAAAAAAATTAACATCATTGTAAAACCAATATTTTTCTCACTCCATTTAGAATCTAAAAATAATGGTAAAAATTACATTTTAGTGTTGCTTGGTTTTTAAATTGCCAAATAAGCAAAAATAGTTCATTTTTCCTGGGTATTATTTGGGTATATCTTCATGGGACACTGTATATTTAACCTTTCCTACTTTTTCCTATTTAAAACAAAGAAAATTCCAGTGAAAAATTTCCAGAAAATTAAAAGTATGAATAATTTAATGTTTTTAATTGTAATACTATATGTAGGATTTGATATTATTAAAATTAATGATTATTTAATCAACTAAAATAACAACTATAAATTGCATTTATCACTTACTATGTTAAATTATTGCTGTCTTTCAAATAAGATAAACCTTGTATTTACTGTGAGGTCATGTGAATAAACTAAAAACCAATGTTGACTGAACATTTAGTTAAAACTGGGTAGAAATAAAATTTTAGCTTAAAATAGCATTTTTACTATATTAAAATTGATAAAAACTAGATGTATCTATTAAAAACCCATTCTATTGAATGCCCTTGGCCCTTAAATATAACTAGTTTTTATTAATAAATTCTTGTTTTATCTAATTCTAGGTTTTACTTCAACATCTATAACTATTTAAAGTCAATTAATTGTTTAATTCTTTTTTTAGTTTGTGAAACTATGAAAACCATCACGGTAGAGTTAATAGAATCAAGTACTACTCTTGATGAATTAAAAAAACCAGCATCAAATTTAAAGGCTTTAAGACAGTTCTATATTCATAACAAGGATATCAATTCTTATAACAATTGGATGTACCACGTAAAAGATTCAGTTCTTCTATCTGGTAAAGAAAACATGTGGTCACAATTCATTGACAGTAAGTTTTGCATAATATGTATTAAATCTGATTTTCTAAATCATTTGCAGTATAGGTACATATTCAGTATAAAAAATTACTAACCATCAATTTATAAATTTAGGTGGAATAGGACTTATTACAAATCAAGAAGTAGAAATTAGTGATATTTCACAAGAACTGTCTGAAGAGTTTATGAAACATGAAGAACCAGAAGATATAACAGCAGAATATATTATTGATGATGATGACCCAGTAAGATATAAAATAAAGTATATATTGGACTCCCCTAACTCACTTTTTTTAAAAACCTATTATTAATGTCTAACATAAAGAGTTACCTTGAATTACTAATGAAAACATTAAAAGAGGTCTAACTAAGAGGTAGATAAAAATACTAAATTAAAATAATGCAGAATTAGAATTGGTTTAATTTTACTCTTTTGAACATTTGTAAACAGTAAGTTATGATAGTTTTTATTATGAATATATATTATATATATTAGGGCATTTCTTATTTTTGGATCAAGTACCTAAGTGAGAAAACTAAATAAAAAGAATCATTTTATTTTTTCAGTTTTTTATTTTAACACAATATAAAACCCTATATGAGTTGAATTTTAGATTCTGAGCGTAGCGAGGGAGCTATTGGTTTTACAACGCTGTTTATTTTTTTGTTCTTTGTTCTAGTCTGTTGACACGTTTTTTTCTAAGTAAACTTGCACCAATTTTTACATATAGTAACTTTTCTGAAAGTTCAAGTTGTCCAGATAGCACTGTAAAATACGGTAATTTTTTTGATTTTCAACGCCTCTTTTTAAATAAAAGCACTTAAGTGTGAAAAAAACATACAATTTTACGATTTGATTATTTTATAAAAACACAGACAACGTTTTCTACCAGAAAAAATTATTTAATTGAAAAATCACAAGATACCTTTTTTGTTGCCCTTTTTGATTTACTTTCTTACAGTATCATCACTAGTAGTTGTGAGCTTTTAAGGAATTTTAATTTTTGGGAGTTTTTTTGCCGTGATTCGGTTATAAATACTATTAAAGACTTTAAACTTAGTAATAATAGTTATGTTGAACTTACTTAGACATAGTAAAATTTCCAAAATAGTTAAACAACTTTTTTTTTTTTAATAAGCGTTTTAAATTAAATGTAAACGAAAATCACAAAAATGATGTCTAACTGAATTGCGCTCGAAATCATCTTTCGTCAAGCAATGGTTTACCGTTGCTTTGAAATATAAATGAAATAACATTATGTATCCTACCTTCCCAACTTCCCACCTACAACAGTGGCCGCTCCCATCCTCAGTATCAGCTCTTTTTTCGTGTAAAGTATACATGTTTTTACGATGTTTAAGACTTTAATTTATCCTTATGCTCAGTATATCCTAAAAAGAAATCTAAATGGATAGGACTCAGGGAGAGGGAAACTAATTTTAACGCAGTCGTTCATGTTTTTGTTTTTGCTTATTTTTAAATGTATGTTTTTAATGCTCCATCAAAATTAATTTTTTTTTTTCTTTGAAGAAGAGTAGTAGTTGTTAGTAGTAGTTGTTAGTTGATTTCTACCAATTTAAAAATTTTTTCGGATATGATATACTGATTATATCAGTATTTCACGTAAAAACTTTGAATTCCTAAAAAGTCAAAAAAGGAACATCCTAATATATATATATTGTAATATCTAATATTATATTAATGAGTACCTATAATATTAATCTAGGGTACCTCGAGGAAATTGTATTCAATTTCTGAAAACAACTGGTTTTTGAATAAATTTTATTTATAAGTATGAACAATATCATTGGTTTAAATTCTGCTTACTGTAAGACTATATCTAATAATACTTTTCCTATACTGTTCTTCCTATTCTTCACAAGAACCTTTATTGTGGAACTCTACCTTTCCCGTTAAGTTCAATTCAGTTCATTCTTTACCAGAGGATCACAGGATTCCAGTGTATGATCTAATTGACAATCTTAATTATATACTCATAGTTCAAATTATTATTCTGTATACAACTATATAATTATTTCAGGTTTTCTTAATTTTGATTATTTTCTATTGAACCTAATGCAAATCATATCAAGCTGAAAATAATTATCCCTTATAATTATTCTGTATTACGTTTTTTGTTCCCATATCATTTGTTAATTAATCCTTAATTATATTATTATTATTTTTTTTTTTACAGCTGAAAGAATTTCTGTAAACCAAATTAAATTTTGGTCAAATGAAAATACAATTTTCTTTTATTCATTGAATGTTACCATAAAGTATCCTCTACACTCCTATGCAAACAGGAAGAAAAAGATTCCTATGGAAATATAATTTCGTAATCAAATAAATAATGGATTTATAACTTGTTATTGAAATGTATATAAATTGTATAAAATGCTAAATATTAGTTTGCATAATAATTTATTAGTTATTACTGTAAAGTGTATTATTAAAAGTTAAAAATAAATTATAATTCAAGATTTTTGAATTTCAATACAAAATAAGTCATAAAAATGTTATAATAAATGTATTTTGATGAATTATAATTTATCCATATTTATGAATACTATTGATCTTTGTTACAAAATTTATTAAACAAGGTCGCGTATTGGTAGGTATATTATAAATTATAATAATGTGGATATAAGCATTGGATAATAGTAGAGAATTCAGTCCTCCATAGCGAAACCTAGCCTGCCAAACTCAGCTAAAACTTCAAATTAAATCTTTATAAAGTAAATACAAAGTATACTTAAGGTAATTGGTGACAGTGATATTTTAGTCGATTTAGAACTAAAAGCCAAACAAAATTTAGATTGGCCCACCATATTTAAAAAAGTAATATATATGAATTATTAAAAGAATTTTATTCTGTCTTATATTGTACCATTGATTATTCCTTTAGTTCTAAATTTCCTATTTAGTTCTCCAAAGAGTTAAGAAATGTAATTAAACAATAAAACTATCATGCTATCAAACTTTAATATTGACTACTTAAATTTGTCATCTATTCAAGCTCAATGTAAATTACATAGCAAACATGGTTATACTTACTATCTTAGTAAGATGCAATATTCACTTAAATCAAATCCCAAGCAATTTTGGTCATTTATTAAGAATTTATAAGGTTCCACTAGTCTTCCGAATTCCTTATCTTTCGATAACGTAGTGGCTGAAGTTGATCAAAGTATTGTTAATTTATTTAGTCGCTATTTTACATCCACATATAAAACAGTTAATTTACCACCTTTACCGGTCTTGTTATCAAATTTTTAAAAACCCAAACTTTCCCAACTGGGTGGAAAAATACTTATATCACCCCAACTATTAAAAAAAGGTGGTAAATCTTTAGTAACTAATTATTGCTCAATATATAAAATATAAATCCTTCTTAAAATTCTCCAAAATTATTAATTTAAAGCTTTCTCCTCTTTTTAAAAATGTCTTAACACCTCAACAATATGGTTTTCATAGTTAAAAATCTAAAACTACAAATTAAGTACTTTCAAACTATTTTTTTAATATTCTTTTTCCTAAATTAAACAAATGAATGTTATTTATATCGATTTTAAGAGGGCATTTGACAGGATCAATCACTAATTTAATCAAAACTCCCGAAAATTGGGTTTGCGGATCCATTTCTTGATTTGATTTATTTTTATCTAATAGATTTCAGTTAGTTAAATATAAAATTTCATTTCAAAGCCTATATCTGTCATTTTTGGTGTCACCCAAGGAGACTAACTTTCTCCTCTTCTTTTAATGATATTGTATTTAGTTTAAATAATTCTAATATTTTACTGTTTACTGATAATGCAAAAATGTTCAAAGTAATTAGTTCCCTAGAAGATGCAGAATTCCTATAAATTGATTTAAATAATATTTATAATTGGTGCAATTCTAACGGAATGACTTAACATTAATAAATGTAACACTACATCTTTCTCCAAAAAACATATTTTAATAACATTTAATTATAATTTAAATTCTTGTAATTTATATTGAGTTCTTCAGATAAAAGACCTTGGTTCCAGTTTTGATTCTAAACTTTTATTTAATTTACATTTATTAGAAATTACCAAAAAATTTATTGGTTTTTGTACAATTAAATGGAACTGTTTTAGTTCAATAATCCTATCACATTTAAATATCTCTATTCCTCTCTTATTAGACAACATCTGGAGTACACTAGTCTAATTTAGGAAACCAATACCTAAGCCATAGCAACCAAATTGAATCCATTCAAAATAAAATTCTTCACAAGTTAAATGCAATTTTACCAGACAACCGCATTCTGGGTATGAAAGTATTCTTCAATTATTAAATTTCAAAACCTTGAAAGATAGAAGATTTAATTATTATGGCATATTCCTGGAAAAACTTTAAAACAAACCATTACAATATACATGACAAGAACCTCTTTTATATCCCACAAAGTTCTAAACAATATTTAATATGTTCTCCTATTAATTTAATACAATCTACCAGTATTACATTCTCTAATGATAAATTTTATTTACATGTAGCTAAGATAATGTTTTGTTTTTTTCCTTTCTTTATAGTGTCGTTTATTAATCTATATAATAGAAAACCTAATTAATAATGTCAATTGTAAATGTAATTTTATTAACTTTAATATAATTTGTTTATATTCGTAATACGTGTTAGTTATTATGACGAAAATCAGTAATCATTATTATACTATTATTGTTAGTTTAAAATTTAAAATTAAAATAACATAAAAATATAAATTGCTCATTAATTGTTAATTAATTTTCAAAATATTTGAAAATTTTTAATTTTAGCAAATCCATAGTTTTTTTTTTTTTTGGTTTAACATTAGCACCTTTGAAGTGAAACCACTCCAGACACTGATTACAACATATAGAGTCGGTTGATAATTCTTTTGTACATGAACTACAAATCCATTTTGGATTCAATTTTTTTAATTTGACAACTTTTTTAAGGGCAGCACAGCCATCATTGTCAAAATAAATTTGTATGCCATCAATTGTAAATCAATTGTTTAAATCAGCAAAAAATATTTTATTAGGATCGTTTTGAATGAATGTCTCATTTATTAAACTATTTCCAGATATTTTTTATAGCCTCCTAAATCTACCAAGTTACAAAATTTGTTTCTTCTTTTTTTAATATTTGATAAGCACCTGGTTGAATAGCTTCTGTATTACAAAATATTAAAATAATTAACTAAAATATATTATAATATAATAATTTAATTAATATTTAATATAAAAACACAGCATTTTAATATAATATAATAATAGTATTGTTGAGAAAATAACTTGCCTACTCCTTTCAAATAATTTTGAAAAAACACAACTATAATAATAAGTAGAAAAGTAAAAGAAAAATAGTTTTTATTCTATAGTATTTAATACTATTTCAAATTGTACTATTATTATTTATTTTAAATTAAAATAAGTGAATTACGAATATATTACAATTTAAATTTTAATTGAAGCGGTAATCATATTAAGTGATGATATAAAAATTTGTTTATCAATATTTGAACCAATCACAGTATAGGACGCGGAAATAGGTAGATACGCTATATATTGAACTCTACATGATAACATAAAAAGTTCAATGCTCGGTCTAAGAAGTTCTATGGTTTTGTCTTACCAGAATAGATAATATTTATTAATTCAAATTTCAAATTTATTATAAATATGTGTAAAAAATGTTTTTAAACCATGTAGAAAAGTGATTTTTATTTTTTATTTTAATATTGATTAAATAAATTTCAATATTATATTTTTTTTTTTTCTGTAAAAGCAATAAAATATTAAGTTTAAATTATTTAATGGTTACTGATATTATTTTAACATAGCAATTGTAGATTTCTGTCTGGTTAAAACTATCAAATTAATAGTAAGTAGGTAAATGTCTCAAATTATTTTGTTGTTTTAGTAGAAATCATGAATTCAATTAAATTTCTATCAATTTACTATCATTATTTGTTGTAGTAATGTACAATTATATGTATTATATATAGCCGTATAGATACATTGTAATATCAAGAATCTTGGCGCATAATATGGAATTAAACTTTTCAGATTATAGAAAAAGTTTTACTTCTAGTTTAAAAAATTATTTGATTTATGGTACCTGTCTGTATAATTATTATTTCAATTTTAATTTTTATATTTCAATTATAATTTAACCTATTTATGATACTGTTTAGAATACAAATAAAATTACTGATTTATTAACAAATTCGTTTTTAGATATAAAGGTATTGTAATAAATCAATTTGAGGTATTTTTTATTAATGAATAGGTATATGTCTTATTTTTAAAAATAACTTTTAAGCAATTATTTTATTAAAATTTTACACTTTTGTTCTAGAATGTGATAAGACCTCAAATTTTATTATTACCAAATTGGTCTTATTTTTTACTTGACGAGTTGCATACTTACCACAATTGTTTCAGATACACATAATTAAAGTCTGGAATTTTATTCCCTTAAAACACAAAATATGATTCTTATATTTTTTAAAAAAAAAAACAATGTTCTCCTATATTCTCTTAAAAATTAAAAAAACATTCAAACATAATCAATGTGCATCAATTTCATATGCTTTATATTTTTGTAATTTTTTTATTTTAAAACTCAAAATGATAAAAAAAATATGTGTATGTACCTTTATAATGGTTGTTAAATAATTCGAAAATAATTTTTCAGGTACATCAAAATTAAAATTAATATTCATAATAATTCAAAATTACAATAAATTATTATTATTTTCTAACAATTTATGAAATATTCCAAAATACGCTAAATGTACTAAATATTCTATAAAACTTTTTAAAAATACTTAAATATGAAAATAAACTTCCTGTGAACTCTGTGTTAAACGAATTATCCACATTTTTACTCTCATAAAACTGTATAGGTAAATTCAGTCAAAATATGTGATAACAAAAATTCGGACTCTATACATAATACATCCATTTATTCAGTATTAGTTAGTCTTTTATTCATAAGATTTGATACATTATAATATATAATTTAATGTCTCTATGTTCTATTTGCTAAACATTTTAAATCAAATTGGTAATGTAATTTAATTATAAGTTATGTTATTAAATATTAATATGATAAACCATTTTTATTATTTTAGTTTTCAAATACAGAGGATATACATTGGTGGTAAAAAAAATAGTAATTGATCAAAAATAATGGCAGTACTCCTTGTAGGAAAATCAGCAGTAGAAGATAAATCATTTCAAAATCAAATTGAGTCCGTGCATTTTGAAATGGTCAAAAGTAAAGAAGAAACTATTCAACTTTTACCTAAAGAATATATATGTGATAAGTGTAAGGTTGTATACTACAAACGTACACAAATGGCGAGACATTTAAAATTGTCTTCTTGTAAAAAGAAGCCTTCAGTTACTGATAAAGAAGTTCCTATTATCAGAAAAATACCTAGTTTATCGAAAAATAAGCAATCATTTTTTCAATATAAACTATATCAATGTAAAATTTGTTTAAAATCTTTTCTGAATAAAACAAAATTGATTCAACACAAAAAAACTCATAATGGAGAAAAGCCATTTATTTGCAACATTTGTAATAGAGGTTTTTCTAGTTCTTACAGTTTAAAAAGTCATGGAAAAACTCATTCTGGCGAAAGGCCATATAAATGTGATATTTGTGAGAAAGCTTTCAGTTATTCACATATCCTAATAAATCATAAAAGAACCCATTCGGGAGAGAAACCATTTAAATGTGAATTTTGTCAAAAATGTTTTGCTACTTCTGGAACTTTGGTAGCTCATAAACGTACACATACAGGTGAACAGCCTTATAAATGTAATATGTGTGAAAAAACATTTTCTCTATCCAGCAGTTTAAGTTCTCACAAAAGAACACATACTGGTGACAAGCCACATAAATGCAATATTTGTCCAAAAGCATTTGCAAAAAGTGGCGATTTGGAGAGGCATACACGAACTCATACTGGTGTAAAACCATTTCATTGTGATGTCTGTGATAAATCATTTACACAGTCTTCTGGCTTGATTATACACAAAAGAATTCACACAGGTGAAAGGCCATTTGAATGTGATACATGCGATCGGTCATTTACTAATTCAGCCAGCTTGATAGCACACAAACGAACTCATACAGGCGAAATACCCCATATGCCTCTGCATATTCTCAATACGCAGCCAGTGTCAAATAATCAAAATACTATGCAGACAAATAATGTATTTTCAGAAATACCAATAACTTCTGCAGTAGCGCTGTGGGACACTAATGTTCCGACAACTTCAGTTGGAGATTTAAATTATAGCTGGTCTAATTGGTTTCAAGGGGAAACAGAATTTAGTAATGTTAAAGATCCTCTTGATGGTACAGTCGAACAACCAGTAGCTTTTATACAATCTGATGATAATGAGAGAGAAAACATTGGCAATGTAACTACAACAAACAGTGAAAATACAACTTTGGTCAGCAATGTTATATCAATCAAAAAACTAGAAGGCCGGTGGCTAGATTGTGATGTATGCCATAAAACATTTCCTTACTCTTCAAGGCATAAATTGATTGAACATCAAAGAATACACACTCGTGAAAAACCATTTAAATGTCTTGTATGTCAAAAATCATTTTCTCTGTCCAGTACTTTGATTGTGCACAAAAGAATGCATACCGGCGAAAGACCGTTTAAATGTAATATATGTACTAAAGCGTTTGCTCAAAAATCTAAATTAAATATACACAAAAGAATTCACACAGGTTTGAAGCCTTTTCATTGTGATTTATGTCCAAAAACATTTGCTCATTCATCAAATTTGGCCGACCACAAGAAAACCCACACTCAAGAAAGACTGTATAAATGTGATATTTGCCACAAGGAGTTCACCCTTGCAAATAGTTTACGAAAACATAAATTGTTACACACTGGATACAAACCATACATATGTGAAATTTGTCAAAAAGCCTTTGCCAAGAAGGCTAGTTTGGATCGACATAGAGGTACGCATGATGGCGTACCTCAATGGACAAAACCGTTTATGTATAGTATTACAGAAAAACAAATTAATAATATAGAAAAACCATTTAAATGTCATGTTTGTTTTAAATTGTTTGCTAGTTTTAATGGAATGACTAGACATACAGCAAAACACAATGAACAAGATCAATTTCAATGTGAAGTGTGTCATAAAACATTCACAGGTGTTTCAGTACTTACTAGACACAAACGTATACACACTGGAGAAAAACCTTTTCAATGTGATTATTGTCCTAAGGCTTTTGCTTATTCATCAATACTGGTCACTCACAAACGTACTCATACTGGTGAAAAGCCATATCGGTGTGATATTTGTCCCAAAGCGTACACACAATCTTCTAGCTTGATAGTTCATAAGCGAACTCATTGGAATCAACTAACACTTATTAACAACACTGAACAACCAATGATATTACCACCAATTGAACCCAAGACAAACCAATATGAATTATCAAATGGATCTACAACTGCAGATGATTACACTGAAAATTGGTCAGATTGGTATCCTTCTGAACCCCAAATGTCTCTTGTCACAAATGAACTACCACAAATTATACAAAATTCTATTATTGAAGCATCACCTATACAAATTGTAATGGATCGTATACCAGTACAAATTTCTAATGGCCAAAAAGTGAAAATTGATGTCAAAATTATACCACAGAAATTTAAGTGTGCTAAATGTAAAGAAACGTTTAATGAGAGCAAATCATTATTGAAACATATTAGAGAAGTACACAAGCCCAATATAATTAAAACAAAAAAGACTGATGAACAAGTGTCCACACTGAAAAGTACCACCACAAAACATAAAAAAATACGTGGTAAACGTCAACAATTAGAATGTGATATTTGTCAAAGGCCTTTCAACGACTCGTATAAATTGAAAGTGCACAGACGCACACATACTAGAGAGAAGCCCTTTAAATGTGAATTTTGTGAAAAATCATTCATAGACTCTTGTAATTTAAAAGAACATCAAAAAGTACACATCGGTGAACATTTTTTTGAATGTGACATTTGTCAAAAATCTTTTCTGCAGTTAGGTACATTGACCACACACAGGCGTACTCACACGGGAGAAAAACCTTACAGTTGTGATATTTGCCAAATGCCGTTTGCGTTATTGAGCAGCATGAAGACACATATTCGACGAGCGCATACAGGTGAAAAACCGCATAAATGTGACTTTTGTCAAAAAGCATTTGTAAAGCGTAACGACATGATTCGCCATCGAAGAACACATACTGGAGAACGTCCGTTTGTATGTGAAATATGTCAACAATCCTTCACTCAATCATATGTTCTAGTTTTACATAAGAGAAACCATCATTCAGGTGATAAACTTTTTACAGATGGAAAATATAGTATTGTACCTCCTAAAGAAAAACTATTTAAATGTGATGAATGCTTTAAATTGTTTGGTAGTCAGTCAATGTTAAATACACATAAACGGACTCATAGGTGTGAAAAATCATTTCACTGTAAAATATGTCAGATATCCTTTACCCAATTGTCAGGTCTTATTGCTCATAAAACTACTCATCATCCTGTGGACAAATTGTTTGAACAAAACGTCATTGACCCACCACAGCAACTTATCACTTCCACAAATATCATTTACACACACAGAAAACTTCAATACACTGGTGATATACCGTGTGAATGTAGTGTTTGTCAGTCATCACCTAACCTACCATCCACTACAAATACACACTTTAATCAATCTGTGATGCCTGACAGTAACATGTATTATGTATAACTGTTAATTATCTATTTTAAAATCAAGTAGTAGTGTATTGTAATTATAAATTATTATAGTATTGTTTGAACTTATTGTCATTCTCTTTTTTAATAAATAAATAAAAATTAAAATAAATTAAATTTGTCATTTTACTATATCATGAAATCTGCTATATGGATTATTATTAATCAATATCATTAAAAAAAAAACCTTAAAAGACATTTCACATATATATCCAAACATTCAAAACTATAATAATGTTTACAAAAACTCTGAAATACATACATAAATTGTAAGTGTTATAAAACTAATTCTATACAAATATTTGAAGAAAGAAAATGTTTATTAAATTCTCAGGAATAGTTAAAAATTTATAAACACATAATGAATTATTTAAAATATTTATAAAATTTAGCAAGTGTAATTTAATATAAGTTAGTTATAATTTTGTGTGTCTGGAAAACACTAATTTCAAGTGTATAATTTTAATTTACATATGATAATTTATGAGAGAACCATAAAATAACAATTTACAAAGGGTAGAACAAATTTAAAAAGTATCGCTTTATGTCTATTTAGGTGAAAAATAAGTTTGTAATCTCATTGAATAAACTTTAATTGTCTTATATACTCCGTGCCACGAGAGAGTGCGACTAGGCGGCGACCAAAACGTGTTCATTACAGCACATTCCCACCACATTTCTGTCAAGGTTGCCTACCGTCGGTATGTGTCGATCGCCGTCGTACCGTTTGTCGAACAACGTGGTTGTAATATACAGAGCGGTTACTGGTGTCATCTTATTTATTGTTTACATGATTGTTCTTCAGTGCCGTTCAACGTGTTACGTGTATCTAATACGGTTTTGAAATTTTTTTTTTCATTTTAAATAGACATTAAGACGAGTTATTTAACTATTTATAATGGCCGATATTTCACCTGTCAAAAGGAATCCTTTTGGAAAAGTAAATATTTATAATAAATAATATACTAACATTTTTTTGTTCTATGCTAAATGCCCAATTAGCAATATATATTGCTAATTCTTCGTATTTTTTTTTTAAGTTCGTTGGTACTCGACAAAAAGAAATTATTGTTAATTTCTACAAAAATTTAATGTTGGAGCAAGAGAATATAGAAGCTAGTCAAAAAATGAAATATAAGGACATCGTCAAAACAATTTCAAAGACGAGTGGTCTTGGACAAAAAAACAGTGGAACGTACGCTAACAGAATACAAAAGTAAAGGTAGTTTCATCGCTAAATAAAAAAAAAAAATTGGAAGACAGTGATGGACAAAACCGACGATTTTGTCCAAAACGCCATTAGGCTGAAAGTTCATAGTTTTTGGTTTAATCGAGAAATACCTACTTTGAATAAAATGTTAGTGGCTGTAAATGACGATGAGAATTTGCTAAATTTTTCGAAGACATCCTTACGCAGGATTTTAAAACATCTAAATTTTGAATATTTGAAAAAAAAATCGTAATAGTGCACTTATTGAACGAAACGATATCGTGTGTTGGCGTCGTAAATATTTTCAATCTATAAAACATTATAGGCTAAGTGGTAGACCAATATACTATCTTAACGAAACCTGGGTCAATGCAGGTGAAACAAACACAAAGGCATGGGTCGACACAACAATACATTAGCCCAGAGACGCATTCCTTCGAGGAGTCACTACTGGGCAAAAAGAACATTCAGGGAAGGGGAAACGATTAATTGTGTTACACAATTGGGTCATCTGATGGGTTCGTCCCTGGCGGTCTTTTATCTTTTGAGTCAAAGAAAAATTGACTATCACTATGAGATGAATGGGGACACGTTTTACGACTGGTTCACCGAAATCCTACCATCTCTAAAAGACAACGCCGTAATAGTGATGGATAATGCTTCATACCATTCGGTAAAAATATATTCATTTCCAACCATATCTTGGACAAAACAAAAAATTATAGATTGGTAAGAAAAAGAAGGTGAAATAATTCAGCCATCGTTGGTTAAATCTGAGCTTTTGGAACTAGCCATTAAGTATAAACCGCTACATCACAAGTATGTGATAGATGAAGTAGCAAAAAAAAAATAATAAAATAGTTCTACGGTTGCCTCCCTGCCACTGTGAGCTGAACCCTATAGAGCTTGCTTGGGCCTGGATAAAAAATTATGTACGTATGAACAATAAGACATTTAAACTACAAGATGTGCATAACTTATTAAAAGATGCTGTGGAACAAGTAACGAGCGAAATGTGGACAAATTTTGTTGGTCACGTAATAAAAGAAGAGGACAAATTCTGGAGAGTTGATCATCTGTCTGACGAAATTTTGGATGCCGAAACAGGAGAGCACACATTAACAATAACAGGCTACACTACTTCAGATTCCGAAGACGACGAAAACATTTAAATTATTAATTTATGTATATTTTCTAATTTAAATTACATGTGATAAAATATAATATAATACTTTTATTATATAGTATTTAGATTTAATAATAAAAACGTAATAATCAAAATAAATTATACTTATTTAATAAAAAAACTCCTCTACTGATATTATGTTATACTATATAATGGTTAGTTGCGGTAATATTTGTGGTGTTACTTGAGCCGCTGTATACAGACAGCGGTCGCCACATGGTGGGGAAAGTTTGGGTTCTGGGTGTCGGAGTTAATCATTTGCAATGCGCGTGGCGCTCGCACTCTCTCGTGGCACAGAGTATAGTAGTTAAATTAGTTAAAACTGAGGATAACATTTAAATTTACCCAGAATTTATTTTAGTTTCCTAAAATGTAATAATTAAATTAATCATTAATGTGTTTTTCAATATTTATATATATATATATATAGGTATATAATAATTAATATAGTTTAATATGTATAAATACTTAACTAAAAAAATATCTAATTTAATTACAATTGGAATCTTTATAAGTGTATGGTGTACATAATATTGTAGTATAGGCACAATAATTATAAAACTATAGATTAAATATTTTCAAATTAAAGCACTCGCAAGTTATATTTTTACAATAAAAATAATTTATTGTATAAGAATATTAATAACTATTAAAAATCACAATTTAAAAATTAACCTTATGAAGAAAAATGTTTTATATAATTTAATATTTAATAAAACATTTTATTCGATACTAAATTCATAAGAAAAATATTTGTGAGAAATTGAATTTTTAGTGCTTAGTTTAATGTAAATTCTGTACTTAAGTGATCAAGATTGCATGATTATAATAAATATCAAAGTACGAGAGAGATAATAAAAACAAAATTATTTTGTTGCTGCTTCACGTTCTTCCCGAGAACGTTTTTCTTCATTAGCTAAACGAGTTTCTTCCTCCAATATCTCATCAAAGTTCTGCATTGAGTTCGATCGTGATGCTACTTTAGTCTAAAAATTAAAATATAAGGTAATTTAATGTCATTCATTTATATTTTAAATAATATTAAATAAAATTACCTTAACATTTTCCAAAGCTGATCCAACTTTTTCTTCAAAAGAACGGAATGATTCAGAATTCTTAATTTGACCAAGCTTGGTAGTGAGACCACTACCAAATCCACCAAATATTGTTGTAGCTTTCTCTGCGGTTGTTTTTACCACAGACTCAGTTTTTTGATAGCTATAATTAATATTTGAATTTTAGTATTAGAGTCCTGTAGAATAATTTTATAACTAGATTAATTAATTGTTAAATATTATCAATAAATTCCAAATAACTCTATAGTAACAAAATTCACAAATTTGACATATTAGTAATTAGTGTTAAATAGTAAAAATTCATAGCGTTAAATAAACATAATCACATTTTTAGCTTATTCTATGAAATAAATAATTTTTTTAATATTAAACCTATTCATCAGAAAAAGAAAAGTAACTTGTTAACTTTATACATTAGGTTGCAAAAACATCTGTTACATTTTATGGATCATTAAACATTTAAATGTAATTAAAAAAATTAGTAATCTATAAAATTGGGCTACTATGCTCATTTTAATTAATTTTTAAATTTAAGAAACTTACTCTATATGGCAGTATTTATTAATGCAATTACAAGTAATGTAACTAACAATTTGAAATTTGTTAGGTATTTATTTATTTATTACAGCAATTTGAAATAAATTAACTTTATTTTGAGTTTTAAAATATGATAAGATAATTAAATTTAAAACTTTTAATCATACTGAAAATATACTTCTCTAAGTCTATCATTGCATAAAGAACTATGTACACACATAAAATAAAATATACCTAAGACACTACATTTTATTATAATTTTTACGTAAATATAATATCATAACTCAATCATATCAAATTCTAAATTATGTGTTCATGCGCCATAGAAACAAAGCCAGACTTACATAGGTGTTTCGACGACTGCTGTTCCCAACTGCTTAACCTTGCTTTCTACATTTTGATAACTAAGTGTTTTTTTTTTTATAAAAATAGAAAATAACTAATTAGAAGATGAAGCAAAAGTGCGTATAAGATACAATTCCAAGCATTTAATATAGACTAAAACAAAGCATATTTTTTTCTTCCATAATATTCAAGGGTACATGCATGAATGCACACGTAGACTTTATATACCAGTGTTTTAGAACCATGTTCCTGGTTGGGGTGCGCATGTCGCTTGAATCTGGTAAAGAAAAGTTGAATCTGGTAAAGAAAATATAACAATATTGTCATTGACAAATCACGTTACAAGTTATTACAAAATACAAATTTAGATAACTAAAATTAATTTGTGCGATTCAAAAGTATGGATATAATATCTATTGTTTTATGTTAATAAAACAAATACATTTCTATATGAAAAAAAAAAAAAACCTTTAATATAAAATATTTAAATAATGTTACCAGTTTTTTCAATGTACCTATTCAACAATTTTAGATTTATAACTGTTTTCAAGTAAATTTATTTAACAATTAACGTTAGTTAAAACAAATGTTTTTCATACAATTCAAGGAATATATAAAACTGTTAATAAAACATGTTGAGTATTATGATTTTATGGTTAATATAATTTGATAATGCATTAAAATTAAAAAACAGATCAATAATTATTTAATTGTATAATTAGCACTTTATTCTTTAATAATCATATTATATTTAACATAACATATATTTTGAGTTATAGTATTGTGTAGCATGTTCGATAATATGTTGGTAGCTAACCCAAGGCCATAGGAAGGAGGAACCCAGCGGTGCCTGTACACTGGACACAAAATACCCCAAAAACCTATACGTTTTAAATATTATGTTAAAAAAAAATAAATAAACAACAAATTTGAAATTTGAGAAATCCAATAGTAAGATATGAGATAGTTAAAACACTCATTTGATTCTGAAAATTGTTTAACTTTGAGTTATCATTATAAATTAAAAGGCTGTATTCCAAAGTTTTGTACCGGGCACAATATTTGATTGTGAATTTCTGACCTAACTAACCTATTTAGTGTCACTAAAACAACAACAACCAAATACTTATTTATAATATTGTTATAAATGATTAAGCCAAATAGTTGATAAATAAAATTATCATACAAATACCAATCATTTTCTGGATATTATATTGTTAGTTAATGTAAAATTTTATTTACAATTTGAAAAAAATATGATATGTACACATTTTGAAAAATGGGAGATGCAATTGAGCACCCGTAGAAGTATATACTTATAATTAAATTTGAATCGCACTAACTTAGAAGCTGTGTTGAAGATGACTTTGATTAGGGTAGTTAATAAAACACTGATACATAAAATAAACGTTAAGAAATTGAAAAATGCTTGTCTTTGTATTAGAAGACTTACATTGGTGCGTCAACAACAGCTTTTCCAATTTGGGTAAATTTTTCTTCTACATTTTGGTAACTATATAAAAATAAAAATAATAATAATAATAAGAGAAAGGAAAATAATAAAAATACAAAAAAAAAAAAAATAATATACCCCAAAAGCTAGCAAAATAAAAATAAATTACATTGTAGAAAATATTAGATAAACATAATATTTGACTTACACATTAGATTCCTTAACATTCCTTAAGCTCTGTGATACATCTTCGCTAATCTCCTGCCAAACAGTATAACCAAGCTTGTGTCTTAGCTCTTGGGATGCTTTGACTTTAGAACCAAGAACTTCACGTAACGTCTTGATTTCTTCTTCTACCTTATTCAGCTCTTGTTGCCATTCTTCTCTCTGTTTTTCCTGTTCTTCAAGACTGAGACCTTGCAGTTCATTGATTCCAGAATCTGGTGACATAATGACTGGTGGTTCTTCCCCTAAAAAAAAAAACAATTTCAAACATTATCAAACTATTGATATTTTATAGACAATTTATTTTAATGTTTTTATAAAACACCATCATTTTTTAGTTTAATTAAATTTTAAAACTGACAACATTCACCTATTTCAAATATCATACATTATTTAATAGTAATATTATAAGATATAAAATATTCTAAAAATGAGCACCGATATTTATGTTTTGAAAACTTTACCTAAACTATAAGAATACCATATAATAATGATTCCTTTTTCGATCGTAAAGAAAATAAAAGTGCACATAGACAATTAAAATATGACTAATATACAAATAATTCAATAATTCCTTCCCATTGATTGTAAACACGACCGCGCATGGCGAGTAAATTATTTTTTTTACAAATTTGTTGTAAATTACATGCCCCCGAATGAGCCAACACGTAATTAAAATGGCCGTGCGTAGAAAAAAAAATACTAACAGTAAGTCGTTGTGATGGCCTTGAACATTAAAGATCATAAACGCGAAAAATTTCAGAGACTTTAAAATACAAGGCGGAATTTCTGTGAAAAAAAAAAGTGCAAGTTGTTATGGAAGATCAATGGCCACTTTCTATCGGATCACCGCGACGTGTACGTTAATCAGCGGACTACATCAATTACATTTTTATAGTAATTAATTTTCTCGCGTGACTGAACAGTAAAATGTCGAAAAACTCGACAATAATCTTACTGTAGTAGTGTGTAGTGATGACGGAAAAAATTTGGACGGGCCAAAATTCGATTGTTTTAACGGACGAGTACGTTTTAGACCGAAAAAAGGTCAGACAAAACTATAAGAATTGCGTTTCCATTATGAAAACGTATTACGATTCTTTAGGTTCTTCACCGAGATATGTCGAAATACGATCAATTTTTTTTTTTTTTTTTTACGATTTCCAAGTAAAATAATTGAATTTTTTTATTTCCGACAAAGCCAAGTCGAGAACTCAAAGAATCATAAACCGTATTCGCCGTTTAAATCGGCTAGTAAAAACGTGTTAATCGACTGAAGTATGCACAGTGTCTATAGCTCATTCCCCTTGAGCCATTTCGGGAAAAAAAAAAACCGATCGCGGTCTGAGATGTGTTCGTCGTGAACATCAAACACATAAATCCGAAATTTAAAATTCGGATTTTCGAACGGGTAATCTGGATGCAAATCATCCACCACAGTTTAACGACGGTATACGGTCGAGTGCAACAACGACGTCCCACTCTGCACAATCGTTACATTTTCCCGCAATATTGTGTTCGCTCGTAGACATTAAATAATCGGAGCGTGCGTGCGCATAACGAACGTGTGTTTATTACAATATTATACGTATTGATATTGTCGTTAGGAATTTTGTTATCGCTGCCGACACGCGAGGATTTTTTTTTTTTATTCTTTCTTTTTCGTTAACGATTTAAAAACACGACACAGTACGAGATGTGTGCCGACCAATTGTTACACTGTACGGCGAAACGGTACGGAAAAAAAAAAAAATCGAAACGAACGGCCATCGCGTAGTTACGACGACGTCCGGACGCCTCGCGTAACCATCGCCGCGCGCCCTGTACGCGGTTATTGCGCCTTAGCCTTCCGCTTTGAAATCCGATATTTAAACATTCCATGTCGATTCGACAATGCACAGTGCTTTAGGGTATGTCCGTTCGCGTCTGTACGAGACAACAAAAGCACACGAACTCCGAACGGGTCGGTTGTGCGAGTAGTACATAGGTATGGTAAATTTAAAATCGTTATTTAAATTTTACAATTGTCAAAAAAAAAAACTACTTTTTAAGATATCGCAACAAATCTTCGTGGAAAAACTAAATTATAATATTATGCGGGGATACAACTGTAAATTTCAACCAACGGACTAAAGTTATCGGAAATTCAACGGATCGCCTAGACAACGTTATATTAGGCGCAACTAAGATAAAAATTCTGAGGGGGGGGGCTATACCCCGAAACAGATTCGTTTGCTTAAATTTGAAAATATAATATTGTAGTCATAAAAACAAATACAAATGATTAGTATCAAATATTAACACATCTAACTACATTCGTCGTACCTGGGGGGGCTGTTTGGAAAACTGAAGGGACTTAGCTCCCCCAAACCTCCCCCCTCCTAGTTGAGCCTATGATAGTGTTCCGTTATTTGATCGTTTTCAGTTATCAACCCGTCGTCATAGTCGAAACATAAATATGTGCATTTTTTTTTTTATTTATAAAAAGGTTCAACCACAGTTCGCTAAAATTGTACAGATGCACCATTCGTTAATAACTATTCGCGATCGTAAAATGAAATGAAACCCAATGGATTTAATAATGTTATATGCAATATTTTACTAGGTACGGTCAGATACGACCAATGCTGCAGCAGCACAGCTACTACAACCAGTCCGGACCATAGACATTTTTTACGTCCAACTAGACAATTAATTGACGTCGTCGTTGGACCGCCACTTGCAAATGTTTACATCATTTTCTTGTCAGTGCAGCTTGACAAAAACACGACGGTGGGCAAACTATTATATGCGGTGCGCTTGGTGTTTATTTGACGAATTAGTACAGTTCAATAGGATACTTCTGTTCGTAATTTTCAGGCGGATTTCATTACAACAGTCGAGACGCCGTATCGAAATGTAGTTTGTTCATAGCGTGGACCAATCGGGGTCCGCAGAGGAGGGAAAACGGAACGCAATGCGTTGCGCGCTTTGTGCAAACACACCCGCCGTCACAGGATAATTAAAACACGCCACAACGCGATCTAAATACACGGGAAAACAAGCCCGTGCATACAGCGTGCACGGTCAAAGGTAAAACACGCGCGGTGACGCGGTTATAGTAACGACGGATGACCAACGATCGGGAACGGAAAAAAAAAAACGGTAAACGCTGGCCGTGGCGCATGTTACGGCGGCTGGCGTCGACGAGGCATTGTATTAATGGGTACGCCACTCGTTTATCGATATCGACAATGATTGCGAATTTGCGGCGGTTGTGAACGCGGCGATTTCCTCGCCGACGCTGTTTTTACGTTATTTTATTGTACTTCGCAGCACAGACGTACTATTACAGAGAACGGCTAATTAAAAGTGCACACAATCAGAAATACTCAAACACGAGCCGATCGCGGAAAAATATTTTATACGGTAAAACTTTCACGTAACGGTCGCCGGAGGGACACGGGAGAAATAATGACCGCTATTTAGAGGTGACCTACAGAACAGTGTTTCTCGGCATTTTTACTGTCGCGACCCCCCCCCCACCCCCTTAAAAATGAATATTTATATATATTTTTTAACACTGCTATATAAAGGCATAACACTTGACAGGACCAAAAAAAAAAAAAAAAACAGACATTTACCGGAGGTTTTGGTGTATACATAATTTTAGATTCTGAGCGAAACGAGACATTTATTGATTTTACAACGATGTGTGTTATTTTTTACTGCGTACGAAATTTTTACCAGAATTCCCGTTCCGATTTTCAAGTGTGACATCTTTTCTAAAAGAAAATTTCATCTAGTTGGTACTTTCAGAAAGTCATTTTTTTAATTTTCCAAGTATTTTGAAAAATACTTGAGAACAACCACAAAAAAACAAAAATAAAAAACTGACAAATTTACAGACATTACCGATTTCATTATTTTAAATTTTTACGCTTTATGTTTTTCACCAGAAATATCGCTCCAATAAAAAGACAACAAAAGATAATTTTTATTGCAGTTGTACTCTAGTTAGTGAGTAAAAAAGTGTTTTTTTGATTTTTCGTATAGTTTTCTTAATAAATGAGCCGGGAAAAAACGTCGATACAGAAATACGATTTCATTATTTTCAATTTTGTTTTCTTGTTGTTTAAAATGTTCGTAGACTTGAAATTTATACAGAAAATTTATATTTGCCTTTTCTAGACCTGGTGACCTTCCGTTATCATACATCATTGACTAGATAATGTAATACATTCGTACAATCATAGATAATATCTAAGATTGTATAATATTGACATTTGTATGTTTTAAGTATTTAAAAGGGGTAAAATTAAAATTTACTAAAGTAATTAAAAATAATAAAATTGTTTTGATTTTGACCGAAATTTCGGTCACTTGGGAGCTCTTCTGGCACGCGACCCCATGTATAATTCACATAGGCATATTGTTCTATCCTATATGTATTATCTATGGGCGTAACATGCCTGTTATCTAAAGTTCCCTAGCGTCAACGTTCAGTATCTCGGTAAAAAACAAAAATAAAAGTATTCTCGTCCAAGCGTAATAAAGTTTCTATTTTATCCGACACAATACTACTGTAGTTCCTGAGAATATTTTTCTCGCAATTTAAATAGAAAACGAACAAAAACGAGATCAGTGAGACAGTTTTAATTCACTTGGTCTTAATATAACTGGTGGTAATTTATATACTAAGAATTTTTAATTTTTTTTAATTAGGGTATCCAATCTTTTCTCTTTCTAAAATCGTTGACGTTCGCTTAATCGCGTGACTATAATATGTACACACCTCATACATGTGATACAAAGTCTATAGATTCGAAATCATGCAGCAATAGATAAGAATTTAAACTAACAGATAACAACGGACTATCACAATAAAAGAACAGATTCAACAATATTAAAATCGAAACAAAAATTGAAATTACAAACATCGAAATCGAGCAGACCATAATTTCAAAATAGTTTTATTCCTACTTGACGTTAATGATTATTTATTTAAAAATGATAAGCCAAGCGCTGCAACAGTTGCAATTTACGATTTTATTCGTAAATTAATTTTTACTAATAAAAATAAACTAAATTAATCGCGTGTTTATAAATTAGAATATAATATAATATTTTTTTTTTTTGTTCGCTTGTCGTTCTGTACCAGCTACTTGTATTAATCGCACGTTTCATTGATCGAGCCACTACGCCGCCGGGGCCGCCCGAAAAAAGACCGTACTACGAAATATTATTTAACAAAACGGCAAACGCGATTAACTTTTTTACCGATTCACACACGGGAGGCGAATTTTTTTTCTTCTACCATTTTTCGTTCCGATTTAAACGAGATTTACGAAGAGGGGGAAAAAAAACCCCGAATAAATTAGGTACGCGTTATTGGTGGGAAAATATCACTGAAGCAGTCGAAATATAATAACACCGAAAATTCAAAAATGATTCAAATACTCAAAAAATAGCAATTCGAAATGTCACAGTTGTAATCGCCGGTTGCATGAAACACATTTATACTGCGCTATTTTTATTTTTTTTATTATTTTTTTTTTTTAATCGGTATTCGATTAACAAATACGCCAATGTTAACAAAATCCGTTTCCCGATCACAAGTTTTGGGCTTTACGATCCAACAACGTTTGATAATATTGCAATTCAAGAGATAAAACATGAAACGATAGAGAAATAACGTAACGATATTTCATATTTTCGATACAATTATTCGTCCACATTGGTGCATTGTTAGCGTTGATTTTCGAACAGTGTAAAATCAATACTGTTAAGCAGTCGGAAACAACTGCATTTAAAATATAAAATTTGGTAAATTGGGACAAATCCGCCAGACTTTCCGTAAAGCAGTTACTGAAAACAATAAACAATTGTCTTGCTTCACTCGAAAATCGTGTTGTTCGTACAACAATATAGGTACGTATTTCAGATTTTATTCACACCGATACAAAGAAAAGAAATATTTTCGCGGCGTTTAATTTGTATGCGGGTATTGTTTTAAAAAGTCGAAAACCTTTCGGGAAATTGAAAATGTGACCACGCGCTACTGAATCGGGGCGTTTAAAACGAAAACAACACATTATAACGATTTGTTTGTACGTACTGTGTAACGCGTTCTCGGACGGCCCGGATCGAAGTTTTATGTACTTATATGATAAAAAATTATTTTCGATTGCACGGAAATGGAACGTCATCAATCCGAAAATAACGAGCCTCATGATGCGTCGTAATTGGTTTTCTGACGGCCGATTAATGGAAATCCTGTCCACGGATCCTTTATACTTGTATTTACTTAGATTTAGACAGAGAAAAAAAAAATACTAATAAATTATTGTGAATCAATGAAACAACAAGTGTATCATAGCAAAACCGACGACAATAACTTCTCGTGTGTAAAACGAAAATTCTGAAAACTAGATTGGTAGCGCTATAAAAGATACCGAGACCAACGATATGGGGGGAGGGGAATAACCAATTACGGGGTACTGGAACCGGGCGCGGTAACAGGAGCCAAACATCGAAGACGATTATTAGTAGTTTGAAGACGGTAACGGGCAGGGTTCGTCTGGAGAAACCGAGACCTATTATACTTCGTATGGAAAGGAACCCGATAAGGAAAAGACTACTTGGAAAACGTAGAAAGATACAGAAGTCACTCCGGGTGGATTAGATTGGAAAACACGACCGTCAGATGAACGGCACGAATTTGGAGGGCACTTTTTGTACCCGAAAACGGGAGAAATCGCGGAATATCAAGTTTCGTTTTGGGTGCCTTGCGTACGTCATACCGTCCTACTGTAACACCAACATCGAGTTTTTAAAGACACTGGTAACACGTGGCGCACGCGGACTTTACCGACATCTAATAATAATACTGGGACCAAAATTTGTTTACGTATTTTTTTTTTTTTTTTTTTAACGACGATTTAACTTCGTAAACGAAAATCAATCAAAACTTCTTTGAACAAACGTATGGCATTCTGCCCGTACAAACTCGTTCACCACTCGGTGGCGGGGGATCTCGGAGAGAGAGAAAACCGCGACTGGAGAAAAAGAAAATACGAACGTGTGTATCGACAAGTAGAACGTAACAGCACGAAACTTAATTGAAAAAAAAATATAATATATGTATATATATTTATATACGAGTAAATAACCATTAGCCGCAGCCTCGCTTTTTTGTCGCTTGACGAACTTCGCAAGCATCTGGTATTTCTTGAGCTCCTTGATCTTGCTCAACAACGATAACTTTTCGTACGTATTCAAGGGTCGTAGCTCGGGGTTGGTCGCCGACGTCGGCAACGTAAGCCCATCGAGAATTGACGGGGACACATCTTCCTCGTCGTCTTCCGACGCCATCAGGTCCGACACGTTGTCTTCCTCGACGATTACGAACGTGCAGCCCAGCGTCGCGTCGTCCGGGTCAAAACTGGGCGTCTCCGTGGCCATGTAAGCGGTCTCCTCATCGTCGTACTCCAACGACGGCAGATCCACGTCGTGTACGATCGTGTCGCGAGCCATTCGGAATGCGGTCTGATCTCCCGGATTACCGTCAAATTATTACTTATGTATTATTCGTGTTACGCAGCGATTTGTAGCGCAAAACCGTTTGTAACGATATGTATTGTCATCGTGTCGTACGCGCCAACAGTACAAACAATTTTACTTCGCGACGGGAGAATAACGATGTATCAGATAATGGATAATCGCCTAATAATTGTGCGCTCGAGAAAAGATAATAATAAAAAGTAGTCCGACAGCGGCGGGAGAAACGAGAGAAACGAAACGTTGCGCACGTAAACGTCACCGACGGCACACTGTCGCGGCTCGAGAAACGAAACCGAACCGGTCGTCTCCGTGCCGAGTGTTGTTCACATTTTTGTTATTAAATATTTCTCTCTCGCTCACTCTCTCTCTGTCGCTCGCTCACTTCTCGTCCCCTCTCGAAGCAACACAATCTGGCTCTTTCGATACTTCCCGAGAGGGAAAAAAAAAAAACCCGACAACGTTATTGCCAACTGAAATGTACGAAAATACCGTACACGTCCGTCACCGCGACTTCGCGGTCGAGGTCGATCCCGTGAAATCGTGTATCGATACCTACACACCAGCGGCAGCTGCTACCTACGCGTATTTCCCCCGTACGTACGTCAACAAATTTCGTATTATGCGATTTGTTTGGTTTATAATTTTATTATTATTATTTTTTTTTTTTCTGTTGTTCTTGCCCGCTAACTTGTTTTGAGGACTACAATATTTACCTGTTGCCGTTTGACCGTATCGAGCCGTGCGATCAAATGTATACATTATTCTTAACGTTAGATTTTAAAGAGAATGAACTAACGTCATGCACATATATTAATTTTATAAATGGCCGGATCAGTCTGTCTGTGTGTGACAGTTTTTCTCTTATTTTTAGGACGCGAATTTTCGCGCTCGGGTTGACAACGGAGTTTACGCGTAAATGACAACGTTTAATGAGGACGACGGTGTTGGATTGAGCCACCGGGACGTCGAGAAATCTCGCGGTAGGTCACGATAAAATTGAGTTTGGCAAATCTGATAAGGTGGGGTGAGCGAAAAGCCAGAATACGTGACTCAACTAAACGAGGTTATTTTAGGGGCATATAAACATACTGTCGGAGGCTGCGGTAGGACGTAGGCCAACGGTTAGCCGTAATGATCTGTGAGGCGAGGGCAATTTTCAAGGGAAATTATTAGCGATAAATAGAAATAATCTGAAATTAGGCTGCTGTGTAACTTTTAGCACAAGTAAAATAAATATTTCTCGGGCTGTTTTCATAAAGTAATCCAACCTCGAGAAGAATGTTTTCGAGAACTGTGCATAGATTGTTTTTAAAAATATTGTCAATTACAGGAATTTAAAAAACAAAAAAAAAACAACCTTTTTATAAATAATATAACAAAATTAAATCGTGGAACTTCTTAAAAACAATAGTTTTACTTTTTGTTTTAAGTTCTACAAAATAAAGCCGAACCTCCCCTCCTCCCGGTGATTACACTACTGTTTATTAAAAACATAATAATACTAATTGTATGTCCTTCATGCATGGTGGCCTGTTATAGTCATTGAAATACAAAAAAAGGCTGGTGCCAAATCTAAATGCTGAAAATCTTTAGGACGACAATTTTCTTACACACAAATTTTAATCAAACCAAACGTTTAATTCTCAAATAAAAATATGCTATTAAATGACTAAGGAGCAACTGACAATTTATCATTCATCAAATGCGTTCATCGGACGAGAGTTAATTAACTGAAACGACCAATAGATGTGTGCATTTTCAATTTAGGGAACTGAGTGCACTATATGAAATTAAGTTGCATTGCATTCGAAATTATTACAAAGAATAAACTATAATTATGTGGCACGTTTGTACATTAATAGTTTTTTGGTTAAGACGATGTCATACACGCATGTGTTGTTTCCGTCTACTTACGTACAAAATTTCAAAATTATATTACTTTGAACGAAAACTATGTCCTTTAGAAATTAGAATTTAATCACAAATAAAAAAATTTAAAAAGGGCAATATTTTCGAAGGTTATAATAAGTAGTTCTTTTTTCTAAAAAATTAACATGTAGAACAGTTACAGCCATGTTAGTTTTTATTTTTTAAAATAACAATAAGACACCTTTAAGTTTGATTAATCACAACATCCTTAATAATTACTAAACGGATGAATTCGTCGCCAATTCATCATACATATAATGCGATTCTATTGACCAAGAATAAACAGATATAAATAAATATTTAATGATTAGTTTTTATCCAATAGCTGGGACAAATTAAGTGTGTACGAAACATAGTGAAAATTTACATGGGGCAAATTGAAAATAGCCAACAAAAAACGTTAGTTTGATATTCATACCGAAATAATTAATTTTAAAAACAAATAATAATCAATTTATAGAAGTAGGTACATTATAAGTAATTGGTTTGTTCGATTGAATTCACTTTGCCCGACGAACTATTAGTATAGCACTTTGGATTCTGGACGGAGCGAAGAATATATTGGTTTTACATATAGGTACTCTAATAATTACGTTACCGATGTGTCGTACGACGAATCGTGTTAAATTTAAACAGTATTACAAACGGTGATACAAAATATTGTTATCGAAGTCCATGTATTATTCGCTTGAAAAATACACTTGTTGTTACTATTATATTATAAACCAAGATATTATTTCCTGGGGCGATCGTAGGTACGTATGTGTATGTGTGTGTGTACGTATGTATGTGCACGTATGAATGTATGTTTGCGTGTGTGCTCATGTGTATGTGTGTGTGTGTGTGTGTGTGTGTGTGTGTGTGCACACATAATTAACACTCGTGTTATTGTCGTTAATGTGCTTGTTGATCGATGATAGCAATGGTTATAACAATTATATTGTCATTAACGAAAATCTGACATAACAGAAAAACGACGACGATTATGTAATATCTATGAAAATACGTATAATATTTTTGTATAGGCACTTATAATTACGACGTAGACGAAAAGGGTGTACGGGATCAGTGGCGTGTTGGCCGTGATTTTGAGGGGCAATTGCCCGATAATTTTAAGTGGTGGGTGGGTGGGTGCCTTTTTATTTTCCAGATATTATTACATTACTTGAATATTAATTTTACAAGGTGTAATTTTATATAATAAATAATTATTCAATTACAGTAAATAAAATAAAGAGATATATTTTTGTTTTACATTTATTCATGGGTAATGATAATGATCAATGCCTAAGAGTCGAGGGGTGATGGTAGGTTATTAAAAAAAAATGAATTGCTCGATAAAATATTTCACTTCGCCACGCCACTGTATGGGATAGTGCGGGCTGGTTTAGGTTATACGACGGGTATGGTAACACATTAGCTGTTACAGTAATGTACAGACCATCGACGTTGCTAATAACTATTTCGTTTTTATAATAATTTTTTTGTTACATAGATAATATTGAGCAGTGGGTATGGATGGAGTGTCGGCGGGGTAAAGCGAGTGCAAGAGCGCCGGGAGACGAAAAGTATCATTATACTTTTAAAATAATAATCACATGTATGTGATAACGATTTGATAACAGTCATTATGGTTAAGAGAAATACCGTAGGTATATGATAACGATGTAAGTATATGATAACAGGAATAGATAAGTCGAGTAAGTATTCGATAATGTGGAAAAAATATTTGGATAAAGAGGGCTTGGTAAAAAAAGGTCAGAGTGCGTAGTTATACGTAGGAAAAATATATCGTCTAAGTAGTCGATGATAATGTAGGAAATAATTATTTAAAAAAAAAAATATTTTGAAAAAGGGGATGGGGGAAAAATATATAGCGATGAAGAGGTGAACAATTCGGGCAGCTATATATTAGGTATAGCACCTTGCATTAGGATGGGCGGCCATGTATTAGGTATAGCACTTGGGCACCTGGCGTTGAATCCCTTATTTTCCCCTATTTCCTACTACATAGGTCCATTATAAGTTGTACTTATAGTGGTTAACAAAAAAAAAAAAAATGAGTTTAATGTGGAATTTTTTTGTTTTATAAGAATTGGGTAGGTTGTTTTTTTATTTTCCTAGTAATTTACTGAATAAATGGAATAAACTGGTAATTGTTTGTACGATTTTTGTTGATTTTTGAGTGTTAGCAATGAAGTGAACAAATTATCGCTGCTCGTTATAAAGGGTTGCTTAAAAATATAAATTACTATAAATATATTCTCCCCTCCAACTTTACTCCTGAAACAGTGGTATACCCATCAACAGTTTTATTTATTATATCTATTCAAATTTGTCTGGGTAATTTATCTGCAAATAATTAAAATACCGGAATATTTGTATTTTTATTTTTTTAAGTTATCAAGGTACATTTATTTACTTAGAGCAAGAATTTTCAAGTTTATTTTGATTATGGAAAAATAATTTTCTTTATTATAATCGAGGTCAACGAACTGCGTATTATTATAGAAGTGCTTGAAATTGTAAAATAAATTTCATGATTACAGGTGGTACTACTGGCACAATAATAAAACACTTGTAAATATTACATTTTAAAAGACATTGCTTTGAAATAACATATAGGTAATGCTTAATTGCAATTCAGTCGAAATTGTTTATACGCGTTAAACAAATTAAAATTATTCGTATTTTAGTATAAATTATAAATTAATCAATTCATACAGGATTTAAATAATACAGTAATTATATAAAAATAAATAAATCTTTTTTTTTTCTTTTTTATAAAATGCAATAGTTTAATAAAATACATGTGATTAATTATTGAATCCCGTAACAATATGATTTAATAATACACCTAGTACACAATACACGTGATGAATAATTATGGTCGTAGATTATACATATAGAGTACGAATAAATATAGCAAGCACACACATTGTATTATTATATTATAAGCGATAAACACCCACATAATCAAGGAATTAATAGTTATGGTATATTATTTTGATAACCTATACAAATTTGGTTCAAATTATTAAAAAGTTTCAGACGTGAACTAACCAACCCCAAAAAATTATAACTAAAAACTAAAGTATTATTGTATTTCACTGGGTTTGTAAACTAAAGTTACACGATTTAACTTAATACAAAAATGTTAATTTAATAATTAATAACAAATTCGAAAATATTTTTATTTTTTTTTTCAAAATGTATTATAGAAATATCGAATAATGATATAATAATGATATTACCTAATTATATTATTATAGATAGTGATAATGGTTTATTAATCAATTTAGTTATTATTGATAAGCAGTAGGAACATTACCTATTTTTTTTTTTTGTTAATTTTATATTTTACTGTAATATGTAAATGCGCAATGTTAAGCTCAAATAAATTGTGTTTTCCTGCAAATAATTGAAACATAATTTACTATTAATATTGTTTACTATTTTATTACGGAATAACAATACAAAACAAATATATTATATTGACTGTCCTTCGAGTATGTTTGTCTAATTTACAACGAATTTACATTATAAAATAATATATTTTCGAACGATACCTGCAAATAGTAATAACTAAAATTAATATTAACCAGATTAGATTATATTAGACCTAAAAAAAAAATACAACACGCAATTGTCAAATAACTAAATAACTCAAAAAAGCCAAAATACTATTTGGATATTGAACACCACAAGTCACCATGTCTAGAAAATTCCTACATAATAAGAATATATTCAGTGAAAAAGTCTAGGCGATTTTATTTTTTAGTGAATTGTCAAATAATAATAATGAAAACATTGAACTTTAATAAAAACCGACATTCTATGATCGTAATATTTTCAGTTTTCCAAAATTGTTCTCCATTATTAGAAAAACTAAAACAAATTTCAAAACACTGATTTCCGATAAATTATTATTAATGATCTCCTATAATGCACACAAATATCAACAAGAATGTATCTACGATGTTTTTGAATGGAATTAGTGTCTTTTGTTCGAAAACCTATTTACAGAGATAAAAAACACCATTTAATTATGGTAAAAACCAAAATCTAAAACCAATTACATTCAAATTAATTGAATAGATTTTTTTTTTTATTGTGAATATAAACGGTTCATAGAAAAATCCTTTTGAAAAAAAAATTTAAATGCGAATTAATTTGTATTCTTAACAGCGCGTTTATTTATTTTGCTTTCAATTGTTATTTTCTTAAAAACAAAATTACGAATACACTATATAACATAACCCATTAATTATAATGAAACTAAAAAGTTCTGAACAACAGACTATTTATCATTTTGTTTAATAATGAGCTGCCCTTAGACTTACAATTTACATAATATATCGGTAAAAACGATAAAAATCTAATCTAATTTCGATAGAAAGGAACTTTATAAGTACAGAATAGGTACCAAAAATCAAAAATATCCGAATCTATATTAAAATTACTTTCGTTTAAATTAATTTAATTTAACATAATAACTGAGACACATAGAGGTCGAGTGACAATAAAAGATGCACTTAACTGGAGGCCAGAAAGGAAGAGACAATGGGATAGACTAAATAAAACGCGGATAGACGAACCCAACCAGAACTTCCGGATACTTGGGAATTGATAAATCGCAGGAATGGGCGAATGATAGAGAGTGGAGGAGGCCGTTAGCAAGAACAGTGTTGTGCCTTAATGGCCTATAAAAGCTGAAGAAGAAGAACCTAATGACCGAAGAACTTATAATTTAGTTTCAAACAACGTGGCGCGACGGCCTTTAAAAAAAACTCAAATACATTTATTAAATGTTCTCGAAAATACGTTTTGATAATATTTAGATTTAGTTTTTTTTTTTATCAAAAAACCGACATTTATGATGAAATAATATTATTTTAAATAAAATAACGGGCTCGGTTATTTCGTCTTGGCGTAATATACCTATATAGTGTTGTTATTTTAACTTTAGACAATATGAATAATTAAAACGATCGAAAAACGAGGTTACTCGTTTTTAAACCAGCCTTTAAAGGGAATTTTTCCTTTCATTATTTAACACACAACCAGCATAAAAATGTACAGACGAATTTTCTGTCCGATCGATGTACTGAAACAATAAAAATTCTGAAAAACAAATTTGGGATCGGGGTGGAGACATTTACAATATACCTGCAATCGGTCAGGATACTTTTTAAAACTATTATTATTTTTTTTTTTTTAATATTATGTTTTTAATAAAATTTCAAATCAATTTTTTCAAAATTAAGGACTGAAATCCGAAAAGTGACCCAACGAACGCTTGATACATGGTGTACTTCACGCTGACATCAAATTTCTTTTCAGAATTCTTTTCGCTTCGCAAAACCGATCTTATAGACGAAAAATTGATCTTAATTGTTAAGTATCATGTTATTAGTGAAAGAAATCAAAACCCTTTTATTTAAATTTGAGTATGATTTTACTATTTCAGGTATTCGAAAGTTTGTCACAAAATTTAGCCAACAGAGTAAGAGGGGGATTTAAGCAATAATTATTCGAGTTCAATTCCTCATCAATGTTACCTAAAAGTCTTAGTAAATTAAAAATGTTTTTCTCTTTTTTTCATCCGTTTTTTATTATTCAATTTTACTTAGTACCACTACAATAATATTAGTCAGTCACACGGTCACACAACTTAAAATAATTTTAAATAATAATTATCTTTTAGTCAACATTAAATTTGTCATAGTTTTAGTAGGAACAAAAAATAATTGATTTTTTAACATTATGGAATAACAGAGCAGAATACTTTTTAGTAGTTTTAAATTATCTAAAAAAAAAAGTGTAACCTAAACTGCAACGAACAATGCAAGTACTCAGTCGGTATTCAAACATAGACAGGTATAATGTAAATTATAAGTATAATTAATAGGTATCTATACAAAATTGTATTTTTTATAATTATTGTATTTACAAATTACTATAAGCATGAGCATTATTTTCAGGTAGACCTCATACTATAGTCGTAAAATCTCCGATAAAGCACACATTCAGTATAACCGAAAAATCCTTCTAGAAAAATGGAATATCTGACCGAGGATTATTTATAATGGAGAAACGTAGAATATACAAATAAAAAATTGTATGGGTGTTTTTGAGAGGCATATAGGGTGCCATGTCTGTACGGGGTTGTTTTATTTGTTCGATAGTGTTTGGATCTAAGTATAGGAGAAAGTACAACAAAACAGTTCTAAGGATTTTTGGTTACTAATTTAATTTTAATGCGAGTCGAACTGTATAATTAAAGAGTAATATATTATAAATGGTCGTAGAGACGACGTACAGTTTTAAAAGTGGTAGCTCGGCTGACTGCGGCTCTCCCGCGGATGCCGTATGGCTGCAATATTCCCAGAGCCACCGACACACTAGACGTTATCGATAGATTACAATAATATACTCTTATGTTCTAATACAAAGGGATTATACTACTATACAATACACTATAGCAATGTGCTCATGACATGGGGTAAATGGGATAACAGAGCTGTAAACGGGAATGGAAAAAGAAATTCTAAACATCAATTCTAGTATTGAACATCGATATTCAAGTTGATCGGACCACGGGAAGTACGTTAAAAACCGATTAGAATGTTAGTTAAAATCTTTCTTCTTCGCGATTAAACATAAACATGGTAAACATGTATAGCCGCCATAAAACCAATAAAAACGCAGTCAATAAATTTGTTGATTTCACTATATCTACTCTTACATTTAATAATTATAACTTATAAATATTTCACATTTTTGAATATGTTAATTTTTTCAAATACGAGTGAGAGAATAAAAATAAATTACGTGTCCGTTTATATCACTGCACGATATAAAATGTACACGAGTTGTTATTAAGTTTGACAATGGCATTGAATTAAAATCGGGTATTATTATTATTATTTTTTGTTTTTATAATTTCACTGCCATTAAGTACTTTTTATTTCTATATTTTGGGTGTACAAGTTGGTGGTTTTGCGTGTTTAGCATTCACCCGCCTTACGTTCGCTTGGCTACGCAAATCGAAGTACACTACCCCTTGCTATATTATGTATAATACGACGTACCACGTACCTAGGTCACAGGATTAAAAAAAAAAATAATAATAAATTTAGGTTAGGACGCGGAATGGCATTTTTAAATCAATATTTAATTTGGTGAGCGTTCAAAAATAAAATAAAACCATAAGACTTTGGCGATAGGTAAATTAATATATTTATGCCCGACCGAATAATAAAACACTGACAACTTGGCACATGTATCGTATGTTATCAGTATGAACGATTTATTGATTTTATATAATATGCTATAAACGCATTATACTACGTTATTTTAACGTCATTATTAACATTGAATGGTCATAATATTATAATCTTCGGTACGGATACAGATTATATTTTATAAGGGCTGGATTTCAATGATTGGTGCTTTTGGACAAAGCAATTCAATTTGAGTAACAGATGTTTTATAAGTGAAACTTTTATTCGCCATTTTTGGGAAATGTCATTAATTTTTGGTATAGATATTAATGTCTTATTTATCAAGCATTTACTATTTACATTGGACACGTGTATCACACAGATTCATTACACCAAGTATCAAAACAAACAAAAAGTTTATTATGCTTGTCATAACTATGATAACTTACTAAAAGTTTTAACATAATAAGATTATTAGAATACATATTATTAAATGAGCAGTGCCAGTACTAAAAAAAAAGTAGAAAATACCTATTGGTTTGTTAAGTAATGAGTTTGACAAACTCAGTTACGTAACTCATTACTATATATATTATAGTAAAACACAACAAAGACCTTATTTCTATCAAAGGCTGTCTGTCAACCAAAAAACGGTGGCATTAAACTTCATGTAAATTACATGAGTTCTTTAACTATATTATTACTTATATTTTATAAACTGTGAATATCGCTTCACCCTTTACCTGATGACCGAGCTTTATTTTATATAAATAAGTATTTTATCTTAATTATAGAAGTCTATGGAATATTATATGACTATAATTTTAATCTAAGAATAGCATAATACACAATATTATTACCCATTACTCAAATTATATTAGCCAATATAGTTTTTTATGGTTTATATTGTAATCAAATTAAACATTAATGTCAAAATAATGGCATACACTTTAAGACATGCTAAAAAAATTAAACTGATTAATAATAAAATATGATTGAGTATCTGCCTACCTATGTGTATGTTAATGAACAGAAAGATATTAATTATAAACAAATGTTTACGGATAGAATTTAAAACAATGTGACTTACAAATAAAGAGTTGGTATTAGTGGTATTAATAACTTTTACAAGTCCTAAAGAAGTAATTTATACATAAATATTAAACAAAATTAAAACCAATACCATGATGCTGATGATTTAATTAAACAATTATTAGTAGAAAAATAGATATCCTAGTAGAGGTATAACAAAGGTGTAGCTACTGAAGGAGATAATGCAACCTAAAGTACCTATTTAAATTTCATTTGCAATCATTAAATACAAATCATACAGATAAATTAACTAGATCTTAAAATATCTCTATTTTAGACTAATATAGGATATCACAATGATCACAATTTAACTAAAAATGCTGGTTTATAAAAAAATATTTTTTTTATTTTAGAATGCCTTCCCCGACAATGTAATCTGTTTATAGTTTGTGATGGGGTAATGGTGCTATTATATAATGCACATGTATTTATTTATTATTTAAATTTAATTTAGATACATTATTTAACTTAATCTTCCCCAAGAATTAATAGCTTTTCAGCTTTTCTGCTTATCAGAACTTTGTTAATTGTATTTATATTCTGTTCAAACAATATCAACTGATATAGATACAAAAAATATTAATAATAATAATAATTTTGGTTACCAACATTATTAAAATAATTATATACCTACATAACAAAGTAAATTTTAATTTTGAATAGACTCAATTTAATCCTTATTATTTTAGGTAAGTATTATATTAATATTGTATTTATAAATAATGAAAATAAAAATAATAAGTACCTATTTGCTTAAATAGTTTATAAAATAAATAATATGTACCTATAAATTCTGCACATACTGGTGTGTATACATTAATCAGATTAATATTGACATTTATCAATAAATTAATGATCTTAGTTATGATTTATATAAACACAATCATTTATCAAACATAAAGTTAATGTCTATGAAGTGAATTAAATGTGCAATATAAATTCTTCAATTAATACTGAATATAATATACATCAGTCAACTAGAAATAAATAAACATATTATTTTCTTCATTTAAAAATGTAAGACATTTGTATTTTTTTTTTCAATTGAAACACTTGGAAAAAATGTATGATTCATACCATTTCTGAATACCAATAAATTAATAACCTGTTTGACTTGCTAATAATAACTATAAAGCTCATAAGTAATAAAATACTTAACATTGTAAAAATAAAACTGTTAAGTTGGATATTTTTAATCTAAAGTCCATTAATGATTTATTTACTTCAATGGATATTAAAATGAAATACAAAAAGTAATTTGAATTTATATACTACTTATATTTACTATAATAAAACAATTAAAATAATGGCTTAATTATTTGTATTGATTAGATGAGTAATAAAGAAATATTTAAAAATTGAAAATAAGATAATTCCGAGGATAATTCAATGTACACTATCTACTACTTATAGGTACTTGCTAAATATGTTTGAAATAACTAATTAGTAAGCCTATTAATTTTAATAAGCACCTAATAAACCTTTATTAAATCCTTTATTAAAAACCTCTGGAATGCATTGTTTAAATATCATAAACTAGTATAAAACATTAGAATAATAAAATATTATGTCATATTGTCATAATAATAATTATCAATTATTTAATTTAGGTACTAAATGTATTACATCATTAAATAATTGATAAAAAGATGTACATTGAAAAATGTACTTAATTGTCCATTTGTTGTATATAATTAAAGTTAATTTAAAAACTAAATAAGTTACACTTAAACTTAACTTAATTTAGTAATGTATACAAATTATTTTAGATCTCAAACAAAATTTGATGAAAATAGAATTATTAATGGTAACTTAATAAAGGGATTAATAGCTATAAACTATATGAATATCTTATAATATTGTATTAAAAATACATTGTTATTTTGAATTTGTATCCAAAATTATAAGTAGTTATTTAGTTTTTATAGACATTAACCAGATTGGAAAGAACATTACACAATTCATAGTTAAGAAAAAACAACTAAACCATGACAACAAGCTGCCTCACTAATCAAACTACAAGTAAAACAAATAAAAAAGACCAAAAATAATAAAACCTAAACTGCCCCAACACGTTTTACCTTCAAAAAACAATCCAAGTATAATATAACAAAAATAATTTCAATAACTATGAATAAATTACATAATGAGTATCTTACTTACATTGATTTAATTGAATTAAATAATGTACAAATTATAAAAACATTAATTTATCGAAGAAAAAACAATAGAAAGTCATTTACAACATTGGCTAAATTAGTTGTAGGTATCTTTTATTGTTAATGATGAAATAGAAGCTTTTGAATGTATACTATATGACTAAAAAATATTTAATATTATTTAAAGTATTTACTATACCAAAGTATTATTTTTTTTTCGGGAATATTTTTAAAAAATAAACAGAAAAATATTAATACCAATTATTATGTTAAGGAATAATTATTAATAATATTGTTACGTAATATAATACCAGTTAGGACGTGTTAAGTTTTATATAGTGTTTAAAACAGATGTTATTTAGTTCTTATTTTTAATTAAATAAAATGTATAATATCAAACATTACAAACAAATGTAATTGGGTACCTCTAATTGTTTGAATGTTAAGTAAAAGCCATGTGTAAATCTATAATTTATATTTGTAAATAAACTTTAAGTATAACCAGTAGGGAATATGACCTGAATATATTTACATATATATATAAAAAATATAGGTATGTTAGTTACATTTATTCTTATAATAAAATAATTTGAACACTTACCCACTGTAAGAGTACTCATTCTGAGAGACGATTCAACACAATAATGCAGTAAAATAAGTTTACACGGTCTTATTCACACAATAAAAAATAATACGCTTAAAAGTGTAAAGTTCAATATTTTAATATTTACACTGATTTTTGGTCAGCTTATCATTTATCAATGACGTCGTCATCGGTGTTTTCTTTTGAGACGATAGATAAAAAAAAACCACAAACAGTGTAGCCGACAACGAATTTATCGGAAAAAAATTGTCTTGTACATACTGACATATCATTTTCGATTTTTTTTTTTAATTTTTTTGTTTACTAACAAAATTGAAAAATCCACCAAATTAATAGAAATAGTAAGTTATTTATTAGTTAAATAATAATTATATTTAATTATATTATAATTAACAGTTAATCCTTAACCAGATATTTAATACTTTTTAGGAGGGCGGGAAATTTTGAATAGATATATCTTTCCCCCTTTTTTATTGTTTGCAAGAACTAGATAAGTCCGATTAATATATTTATTGAAATATAAGCTAACTGAACTGGACTAAATTTACAATTTAAAGTATAAAAATACGTCCTAGGATAATGTATACGGGTGCAGCCGCTGTTATAGGTAATTTAATGCATAACTGTAAGCAACGATAAATCATTGCTAACGAAAAAACGATTCTGAGCTCATTTCAGTTGATAGTGATGCTTTGTCAACAATATTTATATCATATTATTGTAAAATAATTAAATAGGCATTATATATTTTCTTTAATAATATTTGTTTCATATTGTACCGATTTTCTCGTTTTTTCTGGTTTTCCCGTGTTCTTTAACGGTTTTTCACATTTGCTGGAAAAATTCTTGGGAAAAACGAAAAATTACCTCTCTAAAGTAGCTTCTTATTCAGATTTCCTTTCAAAAACTATCATTTTAAATCAAAAAGAAGTTGCTGGTAGAAAAGTTTGCACAACAAATCTAGGGGTATTTTTCGATTAAAATAGTCCAAGCGAGTGATGGTTTGGGCCTCTAGGTACACCCAAAATGCAGTTGTTTTTTCTTGTTTAGGTGAAATATATCTGAGCAACATATCTGGTAGAATAGTATGTACACAGTATAAAAAGTAAAGGAAAGAAAAAAAAATAAACATCTTAGTAAAATCAATACGAAGGTTTTTATGGGGCATTGAATAATTTGGGGGGGTTAAGTCTATGGAAACTTTAGTCTTTAATACCTAGGTACCTATTACAACTAAGTGAGTTGCTACAGTGTGTTGTAAATCAGATTATATTCTGTACGATATAATCTTTTAAATTTGATGTTTGAAAATTACTTTTGAATACAAACTGTCAAATTAAATATAATATCTTTATAATACAAAAATACTTAACAAAAGTGTATTTTATTAAAATATACAGAAAAAAAGTAATTTATAATGTGACACAAGTGAACCCTGTGTCGCCTTCTAACTAATGTACGTAAATGCAATAAGGTTTGTCTATACAATTAGCCTATCTGTATGTATACAAACAAAAACATATTTTTTTCAATTAATACCATTAGTTTTGTTAATTGTATCAGGTTTTATTTTTTATTCTGAATATTATGGATTAAATTGATATGTAATTAGGAAAAGAATGTAAAAACTTTTTGTATGGTACTACGAAATCCAATTATCTTTAATTGTTATTTGTTTATTTATTTATCAATTTGAAATGCAGTACAATAGTGGAATAAAATCCGTATTTTAACCATTTTAGGTTTGAATAATTTAAGATTAAATTAGCTAGCATGGGAATATTATATTGAATAAATATAATGCGATTTTCGTAAGGTAATGCAATTATTAAATTGTAACTTCTTATAACAATTGTTTTAATTATTATTATTTGTAATCGAAGTGATTTCAGAACTATAATAATATATTGTAGTATGTCAAAAGGCAATCATAAATGCATTAGGTACATAATACATATACACTTTGAAGTCCTTACTAAAGAACATGAAGGGGCGTAAAATGTTGGAAAATATTTTATCAGAATTTTTTTTTTTAAATACTTTGTTCTCTTTATTATGAAAATGCTTATCAACATAAACATTTTCGTGGCTGTTTATAACTGCAGATTGTCATACCTCATTGGGTAAAATTTATTTTCTGATATACCTATTACGTTTCCGATGAAATACCGTCCTATCGAACTATTTTTCCGAAAAAATACGGTTCCGAGTTTCCGACAAAATATTTCCCTACGATTTTCCTTAGGTATTAATTTGTCTAATATATTTTAATCTATGAACTGTTTTAAAATTATTGATATTCAAATTTTTGTTAGAACTCTTCCAATGGAAAATTATATTTGAGAAAGATTTAAACTGCAGTAAATCACTTTATTGGACCGTGGTATACTGGTACATAGTAATAACTGCCAATCTTAATTTTCAATATTAATTAGTTCAATTAATGTACTTAATCAAATGATGATATAAACGAATTCAAATTATCAAATTATTATACTGTGTTAAATTAGTTATTAAATAATTGATAAATCAGATTGGGGAGCTTTATAGAAAAATATGCATAGTTGTAAAATTATACTATTAATATATTGCATTTACTTTCTCATGCCTTCATGACGTCATATTGAATATTTACGCAATAACTATCGGTTTCTATTGATATCAGTTTTACGGTAGATTCTGAACGTAGAGAGAAATTAATTGGTTATACTACGATAGTTCTGTGCGCTTTTTTTTTTTCATTTGTTTTGTTTTTTTTTTTTACTACTTCTGGTAACAAATTATGTATAGTTTACAGCCCTTATGGGATTTCAAATATCTTTGGAACTGGAATTCCCGGAAACTAAATACCTAAATACTATCTAAAATGATCATTTTTTCAGTAATTATAATATAATACATGATTACATACGTTACATACTTACATTAATGTAATATTAGAAAAGACATTGAAAAACCATGTTATGTTGTGTTTTTTATCTATTTGATTAATTCGTTTCGATTTCCTAAGAAGTTTTCATAACAATTGAGAAAAAATGTAAAATAACGTGTAGGAAAAATGGACAAATTTACGGCAATACAATTTTCATTTTTTTCGATTTGTTTTTTCACACTATTATTTTTTTCAAATTTCAAGATTAGCATCTTTTCTAAAAGAAATTGTTGCCTAGCTTAATTAGGCTATTTTTCAATTTTCTGTTTGGTTTTTTTAATTATTGGGGAAAATGAGAAAAAATCGTAGGAAAACAGCTTATGGCATTAACGATTTTATTTTTTTATTGTAATTTGGTTAAAAGTAATCGTAAAAACAAGAGATCTGACATTTTCGCTGAATATATATCAGCATTTTTTGACTTTGTTAAATTTTCAAAATATTTTAACAAATTTTAAGCTTTCTTTTTTAGTTTTTATTTGGTTTAATGTAGATAACATTGTTTGGTGAACAAAAATAATGGAAAATTGAATACGTGATTCAATATAAGTTGTAATTAGTGGTCTAAAATAAAAATGTTAGATGTAATGGTTGTAGTAATTTTTTCTTTATAAGGGATTTAAGAACTCAAACTAAAATCGTAAAAAGTACAAAATTTCAAAACATGTAAAACCTAACTTCGCTCAAAATCGGTTTTTGTTAGCAATGATTTATTGTTGTATACAGATATAAATTTCATTGTGTAAACTTTATGTACTTACATTAGTGGCATACCCGTAAGCAGTTTCAGCTTTTTTTTTAAATATTAAATTTATTTATTTATACATTATAGATTTGTTGATTTGTTACTTAGTCAATCGCTAATAATTGCATGCTGATACATATAGAGTAGAGGTATTTTTTTCAAAAATTAATAAGTTAAATTTCCTCTGGTAGGTAATCTGTAAAGAACTATTTTTTACGTTTATTTTTCAAAGATCATTTTTTTTAATGTTGGCCGCAACTGCGGCTAACTCGGTCCATTCTGAAGTTCCAATTTTCGACGACGCGTTTGAGCATTTCGTGAGGTAATTAGACAATAACGCTAGTAACGTTATTGGCTTCCAATCGGGTTGCTCTTTAAACCGAATACGGAAATTTCAATTGTCGACGCAGCCATAAAGTCAGAATTATGTGTTGGGTAGGTCGATGAGCTCTACGCGAACGAAACGCATTCCTCGTAGAACATTGAATTTCGTAATACAGCTGAATAATTTGTCGGGGCTTTGCCGGGCTAAGTCTTTCCACGATCAAATGTCAAACGACAATACGATATATTGAAATAAAATAGTTTGCGTGACCCACGAGTTATCTGTCATGAAATCCCAAGTTAAAAATAGTACCCCGAAAGCTCGAAATGAATCTACTAAATATCTGAATATCTAAATATTATTTTCTAGCGTATCAAATTATTCATTTTCTTAATGATTTTGTTAATTTATTACTGTTTATTATTGGTATCAATAATACTACGTACATTTTACGAATAAACAGGCACTATACTTGTATACACGCACGTGATGCGTACAAATCGTAAAATATAATATAATATAATATGTGACCACTCGATGTGCTATTTATTTAATTTTTAAATTATTTATTGTTTCTGTTGAAGTTGAACACAAAATGATTATTGAGAAAGTATAATTTAGTTATAAATAACGATAGTGATGATAACAAATGATACTCATTTTTTTCAATGCATAATATAATAGGATGTGTTAGTTGTATAATTTATATTTGTACTTCCCCCGGTTAACTGGTATATTTTATTCCGAGTATATTGATATTTAACAGTTATATACCGAGTATCAATTAAACTTGGATAAACTCGTATGTAATATTGAAAAATATATGCGTATACTTCAACACGTTTCTGTTGCTGCAATATTTTTAATGTTAACATAATTAGGAACTATTACTTCTGTTATACTACAGAATCAAACAAAACAATTTATTTATTATAGACATTTTGGATTTTATATATTTTAGGTGCAAACTACATATTAACAAATTTTAATTAATAAGAAATTAACATCTATTTGTTTAACGGATAAATAGCCTGAAAGATATTGAATAATTTGAATTCAAATAAGTGGATTGTATGTACTGTAGAGATCATAAAATTTTAAATTTCCCGATAAAATATAGATGCTAATCAGATACGTTTTGAAATTTAAAACTTTTTTGAAAACTACAAGA